ATTATGATTACATTACAGGAGTAGTTTCAGGGCCACATTGGGAGGACCTTTAAATTTGACAGGAGAATATTTCTTTATATATAATATATTAATTATAATATATTTATATATATAAAATATATAATTTATATGTAAAGAATACACACACACACACATATATATATATAAAGTTTATTTCTTTATCTTGAGAGCAAGAGAGAATGTGCAGGAGGGCCAGAGAGAGGGAGAGAGAGAGAATCCCAAGCAGGCTTTTCACAGTCAGAACAGAGCCTGAAGCTGGGCTCCATCCCAGTGTGAGATGGTGACCTGAGCTGAAACCAAGAACACTTAACCAACTGAGCCACCCAGGTGCCCCTGTGCCAATTATTATTAAGTCTGATATTCTTACAGGAGTGAGTGCTTTCCAGTAGCTTTGAAAACCATGCTATTATCTAAACCTGGCACAAACCAGCCTAGTTTAAAATATGTGTCAATTGTTTGTGGAATGGGGTTCATGCCTCCTTGAGAAGGGAAGAAATGATTCATTTTAACTTTTCATTATTTTGAGGATCTTCAGCTTGCTTGCTTTCACTTAGTTCCAACATAAATCCATCTCTGCTCCCCATCTATCTTCACGCAGAGCCTCCTTAAGTCTCTTACCATTTAAACTACTTCCCTTTAAATTTCTTTAGGTTACTAGTTCCTTGGTGGCATACACTATCAAAGAGAAGGTAATTGTTGGCTTGTTCCTAGAATGAGTGAGATGTGGGGGGGGGGAGGTTATGTGGTTTTTTGGGGGGTATTTTTGGTTTTGCATTTTTGTGTTGCTTTAGAATGAGTGATATTTGGGGGTGTCTGGATGGCTTAGTCTGTTGAGTGTCTGATTTTGGCTCAGATCATGATTTCACAGTTTGTGGGTTCAAGCCCTGTGTTGGGCTCTGGGCTGACAGTTCAGAGCCTGGACCCTGCTTTGAATTCTGTGTCTCCCTCTCTCTCTTCTCCTCCCCCACTCATGCTCTGTCTCTCTCGAAAATAAAAATAATCATTAAAAAAATGAAAAAAGGAGAATGAGTGATACTTGTAATATTCACAAAGGATACCTCTTCAGGTATCCTTGTGCAGAGAAACACCATTGCCTTTCATCTCCCCCTCTAGTATGTAGGATGTATGATAGCTTTTTGTGCTTTTTTTTTTTGAAGATCATTACTGTATTTGTCAGCAAAGAATAGTTCATATCATTCTAAGTAGAATAAAGTTAACAGTTTTGGATTGGAGACAGGGGTGGATTGAAGAGTCAGTAGGATTTCATTGAGAAAAAAAGAATGCAGCAATTTGAATGGAATGTGCATTCTTTTTTTTCCTTGAAAAATGGGATTTAAACAGAAGGGTTCAACCTATTTCATAGCAACATTCCACTGTGTTTGCTGCTATTTGCTGCTGTGGCTTTGCTTCCACTCTTGCAAAGCCCAATGTTCTCTTCAAATAACTTCCTCTGAGTCCCAGGTACTATGCTCAGATTTTTATTTCACAGCTTCTCTGTGAAATTCCAAACAAACATACTGGCTTGAGCTTCTTTTTTACTGTCTTGGTGGTAACTTCTCACCATCGTTTCTGCTATTCTTTAGTTGTGGTACCTCATGCTCCATCTCTGCTTATACACCCATTACACATTCCCTTTCTCTCTACCTCTATTAGTTTTTTTATTGCTGTGTAATAAATACCAAACTTCCTGGCTCAGAACAACATGCATTTATTATTTCCCAGCTTCGATGGGCACAGCTTCTTTGGATCCTCTGCACAGGTCTTAGAAGGCCGCCATTGTGGTATCAGCTGGGCTGTGTTCTCTTCTGGAGGCTTGGCTAGAGAACAGTCTACTTCCAAGTTCACTCACATTCCTGGCAGAATTTATTTCCTTGTGGCTTCCATCTGGAAGGCCCTGGATTTTTGTTTGCTGTCAGTGGGAGACCATCCTCAGCTCCGAAGGTTAGCTCATGGTTCCTGGAGACTGCCTGCAGTTCTGGAAGCTACGCACAATCTTTTGCCACGTGGGTTTTCCCAGTATGATCTCTTAATTCATCAGGCCATTAAGGACAGCAAGTCTACCAGCAAGATTGAGTCTTAGATTATATAAACACAGTGGATATCCCATCACCTTTGCCATATTATATTGCTTAGAAGCAACTCACAGGCTCTGTTCATACTCAAGTTGAGTCACACAAAGGCATGGCCACCAAGAGATAAGGATTATGGGAATACTGTGGAGTGTGTCCCCCACACTCTCATATATAACTTCTATATCAAACTTCTATTTCACTGCCTTTTTTAAAAAAGTGTTTTAGACTTTCTGTAATTTGGTTTTGCCCTACTTCTCCTAATTTACTTTTCCCTTCTTAATAAATCTACCTGTCATTTCCCTCTCAAAATTTTTTCTTCCCTTTCCATCCCTTCCATGATACAGCATTAATTAAAATAGATACATTTTATTTATTAGCATAGACATAATTTTAAAATCTTGTGTATAAAGCAAAAGTAATTTCCACTGAAATAAAGAGTTATTAACTGTGTTTTGGCTTCTGAATCCTTTTGAGAAGCTAATTAAAGCTATAGAAATTCACTTCCCAGGAATGAGGGACACAGTCTTGTATTGTTTCAGTTATTATTGCTGCACAGCAAACCGCCCATAGCTTCATGTTGTAAAATAACAACCATTTTGTGGTTTCAGGAATCCAGACAGAGCACAGTGAGGATGTCTTGTTTCATGATTCCTGGGGACTCAGTAGGGAAGACTGAAACAGCTAGGGCGACTCAAGTGGTTAGGGACTAGAATTATCTGGAGGCCTCTTCATTCACATGTCTGGTGCCTGGGCAGGGATGACTGGGAAGCTTGACTCAGCTGAGACTGTTGACTGGAGTACTTACACGTGGCCCCTCCACGTGGCTTGGGCTGTTCACAGAGTGGTGGCTGGTTCCAAGAGGGAGAGTGAGGGAGCATATGGAAAGCAAGCCTTCCAAGTGGCCAAGTGAAAGCTGCCTGGCCTTTTGTGATGGTAGCCTAGGAAGGCACATGGCAATGCTTCTGTCCTACTCTATGGCTTGAACGGTCTCAAGCCCACTCAGCTTCAGGAGGTGGGGACATAGACCTCACCTCTCAATGGGAGGCATATAGGAGAATTTGCAGCCATTTAAAAAACACATACAGGGGCATCTGAGTGGCTGAGTCAGTAAAGCGTCTGACTTTGGCTCTGGTTATGATCTCGTGGTTCGTGGGTTTGAGACCCACATTGGGCTCTGTCCTGGCAGCTTGGAGCCTGGAATCTGCTTTGGATTCAGTGTCTCCCTCCCTCTCTGCACCTCCCCAATTCATGCTCTGTCTCTCTGTCAAGAATAAATAAACAATTATGCTGAGCGAAATAAGTCAGGCAGAGAAGGACAAATACCACGTGTTTGCACGTATAGGAGGATTAGGAGGAACTTAATGGAGGACAAGGGGGAGAAGAAGGGGGGAAATAGTGGCGGAGAGGGAGAGAGGCAAACCATGAAAGACTCTTGAATGCTGAGAACAAACTGAGGACTGATGGGTGTGGGGGGGAGGGGTGGATGGACATGGAGGAGGGCACTTGTGGGGATGAGCACTGGGTGTTATATGGAAACCAACTTGACAATAAACTATTTGTAAAAAAAATAAATAAATGAACACTAAAAACTAAAAAGGGCAAATGCTTTAAAAAAAATCCCCACATATATATACAAACACAAACATCCTTAAAGGACTATATTATCCTGAACTCTGAGAACTGAAAGGGATCATAAAAAATGATCTATTTCAGTCATTCACCATGGCTCAACTCATTTTTACAACTGTCCAGTCATCCCATGCCTAGACCACTTCAGGGAGTTTTCTTCTGGTCTCTGTTGTCATCCATTCACACCCCTTTCCAGTCTGTTCTGTTCTTCACTCCGTAGCCACAATACTTGTTCTGAAACACAGATTTGCTCCTGTACATCACCCACCCTCACCTCACCACCTCACTCCGCTCCACTTCAAACCAGATTTTCTAACTTCAGCTCCCTTGGGCTTCTTTGTTTCTGTCAGATAGTTCTAACATTTTTAGACAGTAATGGAGAAAACTCTAGAAGTACCTGTTCTTTCTTTTTTATTTTTACCTTAAAATATGACTTAAGGGTACATAGCCATCTCTGGGGTCATCAGCATCATCAGCACTGTAGAACCATGGAAAGGGGAACCAGAGAATCATCAAGCAGGATATTGTTTCTCTTCCTGAGCATGAAATTTCTAGCTTTCTGATCAGTTATGTTCTTGTCTCTTTTCCTGTGGAGCTTGACATCTTGTGCCCTCTCCCCTTGCCTTTCTGCCTACAGCTTCATACAGGAAATGTGGGTGTGAATAGTCTCCTTTCTCTGTAGATGCTTGTAGTGACACTGGCTCTTGTGAGGTGTCTCTGGTCCTAGGTTGGGTGTGAGTAGTTTTACTTTCAGAAAGAAAGATACCACTGGTGCCATCTTTCCAAACACAAGCAACCTTATTCTTCTGTTGGAGATGACTTAGGGTCCTAAAAACATATTTGCATCAAGATTCACAGTCCTTTCATTTTGCCTTTTGAATTCTTGGATGAGGTTTATGTTGGTGTCATTGGCCATGGCAGGTAGTAACATTCATCTTTGATTTTGTATTTTGAGTTTCACAGTCCAGCCCTCGTTGGTGGTACAGAAAAAAAAAAAAAGATTTAAGGTACACAGATGTCTTTGGCATCTTTGCTTAGATGTAATTTCATCAGAGACTGTGGCTCCCAGCCCCACCCTGTAGGTTAGCTATAGTGTTTACGTATCTGTAATTACTTAACCTCATTGTCTAAATATGTTTAATGAATCTTCTGTGCTGGGGTGGGAGCTCTGTGAGATCCCAGTGATGCCTGTCTTGCCCATTCCTTCTCTCCAGGACCTACCACAGCAGGCACTGGATGATCATCCAATGCCTGACTGTGTGGTATTTTGTTTGACAGGAACAGACAATCTACAGATAACAGTCAGCCCAACCCCGGAGTCATTTCCTCATGGGAAATTGTTACCGATTTCACCAACATGGCCTTTCTCAGAAGTCCCGTCTTCCGCAGCAGTGGCCAGAATCAAGAATGTGCTGGGACCCTCCCCTGACAACACTAGCGTGCTGCAGTTTGCCCGAACATCTCCACCCAAAACACACCGCAGAGCCCGGGCTCATGGGGACTTCTCTTCTTCCCCTTACCAAGGAAGTGGACACAGCACCTCCCTTGAGCCTTCCAAGGATTCCACCGAGTCTCTGGTCCAACCAAGACCTCAAGGGGGAAAGGATGCATCCTTTGTGTCAGGTTTGCCTCACACCAGCATGCTCCCCTCATTGTCCACTATCCCATTTCAGCCAGTCTGGGTAGGGACTCCTTCCATTTCAATACAACATTCCCCAAGATCAAACATTGTTGCATTTCTCCCTCCACATCCATCCTCTTCATTGGCTTCTGACTCACCTCATTCCATCACCTTTTCCAAGCCACCTGAACAACCCACCAAAGTGCCTTTGTTTCCCCAAATAGCTCCAATTGGCTCCTCTTCAAGTCAGAGCATAGCTAATCCCCCACGCCCATTTGCTGGGGAAATGAACCACACTCTGTCCAAAAATGCCCAGGATTTTATAGGCATCCCTCGTCTAGGTCTTTTTGGATACTCAACAGTGGAGCATCCTGAGCTGGCCCCCACAGAGGATCCTCACTCAGCAGGCTCCCCCACACCTGAGTTTTTGAGCTCTGTGGCAGAACTGTCCCATCTGTCTCTCCCGCCCCCAGTGCCTGGAAGTCTACTTCTGCTTCCAGATGGAACTCCCTCATGGTCAGTGTTGGAAGTGGCTTCAAGACATACATCCACACAGCCAGTTGAAGCTGAGGTGGCTGGAGGAGTGCACAGTGGGGTGACTTTGCCACCTTCTAAGAGTGTGGCAGCCACAGCAGTGACCCAGGAGGCTGTGTCTTCACTTTTCCAGACTGCAGAATCAGTGGCAGTGGAAACAACCAGCAGAAAGCTAGCCCTTGGTACTGCAAATGACGTCACTAACCCACTGCATTTGTCAGGAGCTCCAGAGAATTCTGAAGGGCTCCTCCCTTCAGTGGAACACACATCTTCCTCTTTGGCACCTTCTACTCTGTCTCTCACTACAGCCCACAGAGGGCAAGCCATCCATTCTGGGGCATCCAACAGCACATCAGCAAACTTTCCCTCTGCTCTCACCTTCCTCCAGCTGGCACAGAACCATGCCTCTATTTCCACTGTGCCCAAGATGCCAACTCCTCAAAAAGGGGGCAGTGGTGGAACCCCTCCGACTGCAGCTACAGACTTCCTCTTCTCCAACAAATTTCCCAATCTTCTTTCCACGACCTGGGCATTTCCTCTGCAGAAAGAAGATAGTGTGACAGATGGTTTAAAGAAAAATGAAAAGGCAGATTTGACAGTTGATCTCCAGACCCTTCCAACTAAAGAGATTCCAGGTCTTCACACTGTAAATGGGTTCAACTCTGCTTCTAGCACGGATCATATTTCATCTTTCTTCATCACAACACTAAAAACAAACCTCCTTCCTTCAGAGTTACCTCTACCTTCCAGCCCCTCTGTACAAAGCACCCAGACTACGTTCCCATCCCCTAGCTTGTCTGACATCAAGCCAGAGACTTATGCAGCTGTGATAGACCATTCTCAGTTGCCAGTTTCAACTTCCCAACAGGTGACAGCATTTCCCTCATCCACTGAGGTCTATGATTTCTCAACAATGAGACATGTGAAAAAGCCAGCAACCACAGATGTTTTCTGGAGTTCTCTTTCAGCAGAAACTGGATTTCTCTCCACAGAGCCAATGATATCTGGCTTGCAGCAGCAAACAAATTATGATTTAAATGAGCACACAATTAACTCCACCAGTTGGGAAACTCATTCAGCTTCAACTCCTCCTCCCAATGGCTCAACTTCAGCTGCCAGTACAATAAAATCTTTGGATTTCAGAGATACTACTGGGCATTCAGTGACTGCAGAAGGCTCTAACATTCAGCATCCAGTCCTTGGTACAAGCACCAACCTGCCTATTCAACAGTCAGAGATTACCATGGTTGGAAACCATACAGACTTCTTGTCAACAACCAATAAAAACTATTCCAGAGAGTTCCCAACAGCTGAGATTGAAGATTACCCATCCACAAGCCAACATGCTATGTCTCATCCTCATCTTCAACTGCCTGCACATTCAACACATGCTCTTTCACCAGCCTCTCCAAGTCTGACTTCCACAGCTAGCTTGCAGGAAATGCTTTCAGATGGAACAGATACAATTCTCCGAATTTCCAGTGACATCCATCCATCTCCTGTGATAAGTGCTTCCACATCATTCCAGAGTATCTTGAAATATCACTCTACTGCTGAATCTCCTCCTCTATCGACCAGGGCCCCATCCAAAGTGCTGCTGGCTTCTCAGCACCCTGAGAAATGGACAGGTGCAGCCACTCATGCAGGTAGTTTGTTTCCCCGTACCCCCCAAATTAGTATGACTGCTTCTGTGGACAAGCATCTTCAAGCTCAACACAGATATCCAGTTTTGCTTAGAAGGAGCAGACACACACTTTTGGGATAATGAATGAGTTAGCCGCCCCAGATAGTCATGCCCTTGATCCTCTGCTAACTTGATTGTTTTGAAAGTACAGTCTCCAACTTGCAATGATTTGACTTACGATTTTTCAACTTTATAATGGTGCAAAAGCAATATGCATTCAGTAGGAATCATACTTTGAACTTTGAATTTGGACCTTTTCCCAGGCTAGCAAGAAGTGGTACACTCCTCTCTGATGAAGTTGGGTGGGGCAGTGAGTCAGAGCTCCCAGTGAGCCACGAGATCACGGTGAACAATGTTACAATTATAACCGTCCTGCACCCGTACAACTATTCTGTCTTTCAGCACCGTATTCAATAAATTACCCAAGAGAGTCAATACTTGAATATAAAACAGGCTTGTGTTAGATGTTTTTCCTCAACTGTAGGGTAATGTAAGTGATATGAGCACTGTTAAAGTGGGCTGGGCTAAGCTAGGATGTTTGGGAGGTTAAGTATATTATGTGCATTTTTGGTTTCTGATATTTTCAACTTATGATGGGTTTATTGACACATAACCCCATCGTAAGGCGAGGAAGATCTGTATTCAGAACTTAAATGTCCTTTTTACCAACCATAAATTTCTTTCCACCCCAAACCTCATCAAGGTTTCTGCCAGTGGCATTCTCATTATGGGTAATTGACTTAATGAACCTAGAGCTGTTTTCCCTAAATCCCCGAGCAGAGATTTTTCACCCCAGCAAACTCATAAGTTACATCCATTCATCACAACAAATGACATGTGTACTGTAGGCCAATGACTTTGCTTTTTCCCTTTGCAGTGGATCCCTCAGTGTCGTCCAAGGCAGAACCAACAGCAGCATCCGCTGCCACGTTGTTCCTGGGGAAATCAAGTCCACCGGCGCTGTCTGCAGCCCTGATTGCCAAAGGCACTGGCAGCAGTGCTTCGGCCATGGCCTCAGCATTAGTCAAGAGCAGTTGGACCACTGCCCTAGCTAAAAACGTCACAAACAACACAGTACCTGGCCCAAGGACGACACCAGGGGCACTGCATCCGGCCTTCTCACTCGCACCAACCTACATGTTTTCAAGAACAGCACACACCGTGAGTGCTCATACAGCCATGCAAGGGAACATGGGCACTGCCTCTGGCCTGTTGTCCACAACACACCCCCCCAGGAAACCACAAGCCATGCACACAGGCCTCCCAAACCCCACCAGCCCGGACATGCCGAGGACATCCACCACACGCCCACTGACAATCACAGCAGCCTTGACATCCGTTACTGCCCCAGTAAGGGCCACCCGGTTGCCACCTTTGCTGGCAGAGAATACAGATACTGCGTTGACTGCTGTGGTCACAACTGGCAAAATGGCATCCAACCTGGAGTGTCAGATGTCCAGTAAGCTCCTGGTGAAGACAGGTAAGAGTCCACTGTCCTGATTTTACTTGAAAGCGGCCAACACATCTTGGTCTCAGAGATGTGGCAGAATTATTTGAGTTCTTTGAGATTGGTGGTTCTCAACCAGGGACAGTTTGACTCTTTCTCCCCCAGAAGACATTTGGCCATGTCTGGAGATGGTTTTGGGTGTTTACAACATGGAGGGTAAGGAGGGTGCTGCAGGCATGAATGAGACAGAGACCAGAATGCTGCTAAAAACCCTACAGGGCACTGGGTAGTCCTACAGCAGAGAATAATCCAGCCCAAAATGTCCCAGTGATGAGGTTGAGAACCCCTGATCCTTAAAAAGCGGCAGAGAAGAGGAGGGAGCTTTACATGATATGGATTCTAGGCCCGGGATCAGTCCTGATATCAGAGGCTCTAGGGAAACCTATTCTGCCAGTAAGTCTGAGAAAACAAACATGTAGCAAGTCTTGCCTATAGAGCAAATCAGTGATGTCTCACATGAATAAATGAAATGATTAGTAAAATACCAAATCTTAGAAACTCTACAGAATTCAGAGAGGCTTTTGTGATGTATTTTCTCGGTCAGCAGATAGTAGAAGTACAGCCACACGATGTGGGTGCCCAGGATTTCTTTTGATGTTGAAAAAGAGGCCTTGAAACATTGGGTGTTTTTATGCTATCTCTTTAGCCCCCACCTCCCAGTTGCAGCAAAGCAGGCCAGGAAGGCACAGGGTGCTTTTAATAGTGTGGTAGTGTTTGCTATAAAAAGCATTAGACACAGTATTTGAAAGAGCATGCCAGTGCTGAAGGCTCGTGTCCCGCCTTCCTCTTCACCCCACAAAGGATTAAATGAAATTATATCTGGAGACATACCCTCTTTGCAAGTGGGAAATTGTGAAACTAGGCATAGCACAAAGTATAGTATCTCTTTCTATTTCTCAAGATATTATACCATCTGGTTTCCCACTCTCCCCCCGTTGAGAGGCAGGCAACCCTAACCACCTAGATGCAAAGTCTGGAACATTCTCCCCCCTCCTTCATCATCACCCCCTTCACCCCATACCTGGTCAACCACTGGTGCCCTTCCATCCTACCTCCTGGACTATCCCTTCTCTCTTCCCCAGTGGCCACTTCCCTAGTTGACACTGTCATCATCACTCAATTTCTACAACAACAACCAAATTTATCTCTCTGCCTCAGACTATCCCCCACTCCAATCTGTTCTTCGTTTGCAGCCAATGGAACTTTCTAAAATGTATGCCTTTGCTGAAAACCCTTCACTTCCCATCACCCTCAGGACCAAGCCTAAACAGGTATCCTGAGGCTTCACTTCTCACCCCTGTGTCTTTTCACTTGGTCTTCTCTCTGCTGGGAGTGGGGAGGGAGGTGGTGCCTTTCCCCTTGACCTAGCATACTCCCCTTGTCCTTCAGGACTCAGTGTAAGCATCAAGAAACCTTCCCTGATCCCCACCCCATTGCCCAAGTCCGAGCTGGATCCTCCTCCTGGGGCCTCCAGTGGCATTGTAGGCTTCCCTTAAAATAACACCTGTCATATTCGATCACAGGTGCCTACCTTCCACCGCAGCTCTCTAGCCCAGTCTCTGGCCCACTTGTGGGTTGGGGACTGCATCTTCCTGATTCAGGGGTGTTTTAGGCTGCAGGAGCCAGCTCAGGGCCTGCCCTTAAGCAGGCTGTCAGGGAATGCTGTTACAGGAGTTTTCTTGCATGCAGCAGGCACTGCTGAACCCGTTTTCAAAGTCAGAGTAAGCATTGATCAGACATGAAGTGTAGCCAGCATATTAGCTCTCCCCACTAGGGTCATACAAATACTAGGTTCTTCCTTCTTTGGACTTGAGTGGGACCAACACGGCTACTACCCCAGCCCACTGCTCTCATTGGTTGGACCTGCGCTCACTAGCTTTCCTCAGAACTTGTAGGGGGTGGATGGCGGAGAGGAGAGGAAGGATCATTACTTACCCTGATTACTGTGCTTTTGTTTGGCCCCACAGTTCTCTTTCTGACCCAGAGGAGAGTGCAGATCAGTGAAACCTTGAAGTTCAATGTAGCCAGAGGGCTCACGCAGGCATTGCGGAAGGCTTTCCACCAGAATGACGTCTCAGCTCACGTAAGCCTCTTGCTTTTGTGATTAGACTAAGCCGCCCACATCTTCCTCTTGGTCCCAGAGGATGCTAGATTATTTTCCTCCTCCCTGAGTACCATAACCATACTTGTCAGAAGTAGAATCTTTTTTTCATTTTGGCAAATAGCTAATGTGTGGTGACCGGAGAAAAAGGTCAGATTTTGGGATGGAAAATTGAGGTTAATTGCCTTATGTCTAATCTTTTTTGTTTTCAAGTCTGGATATACTGTTTTGAATGTCCTGTTATCCCATTGTTTAGGGAAATTTAATATTGTGAGTGTAATTTTCAAGAAACTATCCATTGCTTTTCCCTTTATCTCCCTCAGCATTGTAAATAGTGATTTATTTCTGGACATTTAAAAATTATTGTAAATTGAGTCCAGCTTTGCTTAAATAGCCAGCAGCAGACAGGGAAATGAACATTTTTTCCCCTCCAAACACTTTAATGTGAAGTACTATATAAAAACTTCAAGCTGATTGTGATGGCGTATCCAAGTGATGGAAGCCTTGCTTTACACTCTTTTGGACTGACTCCAAGTTTCAAAGTCTAAATATGATTGGCAGTTGGTAGACAACGCTTCTCACTACTTAAAAATATTGCTCTGGCGTTTTCCTTTGATGTTTTGTTCTACAGCTGCATTCGGTTTTGTGGTCTCCAAGACCACACCAAGGACTAGGAATGAGGTTTGGTACATAGTTTATCAGTCACTGTCAGTCTCTTGTATCTAATTCTGGGGGGGGGGGGGGCGGGGGGAAGAAAGAAAGAAATGCATTTCATGAGAGGCATCTGTGGTTTCTTCACCAGAAACTTTATTTGAAAGTTGAAAATGTGAGTATTTCTATTTGGTCACCTGACATGTAATTTTCACTAAACTTTAGTCATTTGTAAACTACTCAGTTTTTTGCCTTTTCTGTATACCATCCCAGACCACTATGACAATTAGTTATGAATTCAGTTTTTTTAGATTTTATTTATTTACTTTGAGAGAGAGAGAGAGAGTGAGAGCGAGCGAGCATGCAAGCATGAGTGGGGGAGGGGCAGAGGGAGGGGGAGAGAGAATCCAAAGCAGGCTCTGTGCTGTCAGTACAGAGCCCAACATGGGGCTCCATCTCATGAACTGTGGGATCATGACCTGAGCCAAAGTCAGACATGTAACCAATTGAGCCACCCAGGTACCCCATGAATTTGGTTTTTGAAAGCTGGCTCCATTAAGTTCCTCCTAATCCACCTATATGTGCAAACATATGGTATCTGTCCTTCTCTGGCTGACTTATTTCACTCAGCATTTGGGGAGAGGGAGGGAGGCAAACCATGAAAGACTCTTGAATGCTGAGAACAAACTGAGGGCTGATGGGGGTGGGGGAGAGGGGAGGGGGGTGATGGACATGGAGGAGGGCACTTGTGGGGATGAGCACTGGGTGTTATATGGAAACCAACTTGACAATAAACTAAAAAACAGCAACAACAACAACAAAAAGAAAGTCGGCTCATTTTTAAAAACGTAAATACATTTCTTTTGAAAGGATGTTTGATGATGCTCAGCATCCCTCCTCATCAGGGAAATACAAATCAAAACGACACTGAGATACCACCTCACGCCAGTCAGAGTGGCTAAAATGAGCACATCAGAGAACGCGAGATGCTGGCCAGGATGTGGAGAAATGGGACCCTCCTACAGTGTTGGTGGGAATGTAAACTGGTGCAGCCCCTCTGCAAAACAGTGTGGAGGTTCCTAAAAAATTAACAGTAGAACTCCCCTATGACCCAGCAATAGCACTGCTAGGAATTTCCCCAAGGGATACAGAAATGCTGAGGCATAGGAGCACATGTACCCCAATGTTCATGGCAGCACTCTCCACAATAGCTAAAACATGGAAAGAGCCTAAGTGTCCATCAACAGACGAATGGATCAAGAAGATGTGGTTTATCTATACCATGGAATACTACATGGCAATGAGAAACAATGAAATCTGGCCATGTGTAGCAACATGGATGGACCTTGAGGGTGTTATGCTGAGTGAAATAAGTCAGGCAGAGAAAGACAAATATCATATGTTTGCACGTATAGGAGGATTAGGAGGAACTTGACGGAGGAACAAGGGGGAGAAGAAGGGCGGAAATGGTGGGGGAGAGGCAAACCATGAGAGACTCTTGAATGCTGATAAAAACTGAGGACTGATGGGTGTGGGGGTGGAGGGGGGATGGGCATGGAGGAGGACACTTGTGGGGATGAGCACTGAGTGTTATGTGGAAACTAATTTGACAATAAACTATTTGTAAAAAAAAAAAAAAAGAAAAGAAAAAAAAAGAAAGGATGTTTGATATTACTGCCATAAGTAGAAATCAGGATCATCTGCCACAAAAGATAATCCTAAAAATGAGAATAACGGTAACAGCTCATTAAATTCAAACTAGACATTGTTGCTTACAGAAGGCTCTAAGGCTGATGATGTCCCTTGTGTTCCTTTGTTTAAAAATATGATTAGCAAGTATTAGAGAGGTGTTAACAATAAGTAATCCCCAAACTAAGACTTCCTTGGAGCAATTGGGATTGGAGTCACTTTCTCACTGGGTGGTCTGGTGGTGTTTAATGCTGTGTCCAGGTTACATCCAGAAGTATCTCTTGTTTCACCTATAGTCATCTTGAACACTGCCTTTAGGTCCCAGAGTGGCAGCGAGCACACAGTGTGGAGGAGGCAAAGCACACCCAGGCTGTTGCAGAATCAGTTTCCTTGGTTTCTTTCACAGAAACACTTGACATTACTAATGGAAATGCAAGCGTCAGAGTGTGTGGGGAGAGGGAAACATGTGTTTACAACACGCCAGGGAGGTGTCTGGGTGACTTAGTCAGTTAAGCGCCCAACTCTTGGTTTCGGCTCAGGTCATGATCTCACGGTTCGTGATTTTGAGCCCCACATCCAGCTCTCTGCTGACAGGACAGAGCCAGCTTGGGAGTCTCTGTCTCCCTCTCTCTCTGTCCCTCCCCTGCTTGTGCTCTCTCTCCCTCTCTCAGAAATAAATAAATATTTTTAGGAGCACCTGGATGGCTCAGTCAGTTGGGCATCTGACTTCGGCTCGGGTCATGATCTCACGGTTCATGGGTTTGAGCCCTGCTTCGGGCTCTGTGCTGACAGCTCAGAGCCTGGAGCCTGTTTCAGATTCTGTGCCTTCCTTTTTCTCTGACCCTCCCCTGCTTATGCTGTTTCTCTCTCTCTCTCTCAGAAAAAAAAGAATCAAAAAAATAATAAATACTTTAAAAAATCCCCAAACCCAGAAAAACCACCCTGTTATAAAACACTAAGAAAGCAAAAGAAAACAAGAATAAAATCTATAGCCTCAAAATCTTCCAGTTGGGTCATAAAGAGTTCAGCACATCAGTGTCCCTTAGGACTCAGTGTTAAGAGAGACTCTATATAGCTCATCCCCATCCCCACCTTGGCCTTGAACCAACCTACAAGCCAGCTTTTAGAGAGAGGAATTCACCTCATTTATTACCTGATCCCCTGTCCTGAAGGAGCCCCCACTTTATCTATCAGTTCTGCCTTTTAATTTTCATAAATGATAAGAAGTATAATAAAGCTGTTCTTCCCAGCATTTCATCTCTGAAAATCTCTTTTGCCAGCTTTCTCCTGTTTGCCTTCTTGAGTGACCATTGGTACTCAAAAGATTATACCGAAGTAATTTAAGGAATCAAGAAAACCTGGGGCACCTGAGTGGCTCAGTCAGTTGAGTGTCCGGCTTTGGCTCAGGTCATGATCTCATGGTCCGTGAGTTCGAACCCCACTCAGAGCCTGCTTCAGATCCTTTGTCCCCACCTCTCTCTCTGCCCCTTGCCCCTTGCTACTCTCTCAAAAATAAACAAACATTTTTTAAAAACCCAGAGATTTAATTCTATTCCATGTAGGTGTGATATAAATTGTATTTTTGTATTGTTTTGCATTCTGATATTTTGAGACTTGCCAATCCATGTGTGTTTATTATTTTTTAATTTTTAAAATGTTTTTTATTTATTTCTGAGAGAGAGAGAGAGACAGCATGAGTAGGGGAGGGTCGGAGAGAGAGGGAGACACAGAATCCAAAACAGGCTCCAGGTTCTGAGCTAGCTGTCAGCACAGAGCCCGACGTGGGGCTTGAACCCACCAACCACAAGATCATGACCTGAGCCAATGTCAGATGCTTAACTGACTGAGTCACCCAGGGGCCCCACCAATCCATGTGTGTTTATAGGGCTATTAGAATATTTGTTGAATGAGAACATCTTATTCCCCAGCCTTGGTAAATAACAGTTGTGGTTCTCATACCAAGAAGAACTTAAAGCACTGTGGAAATAAACACTGAGTTCTTTGGGCCCGTTGTTTTGTAGGTGGACATTCTGGAACATTCTCATAATGTCACAGTTGGTTATTATGCTACCAAAGGGAGACTGGTGTACTTGCCTGCCGTCGTGATAGAAATGCTGGGTGTTTATGGGGTCAGCAATGTCACGGCGGATCTGAAGCAACATACCCCAAACTTGCAGTCAGTGGCAGTTCTTGCCTCCCCGTGGAATCCCCAACCTGCAGGCTACTTCCAGCTGAGAACAGGCAAGTACCTATCCATTCTGGGACCAGGGGCAGTACCAAGAGGACACCTGTTTAAAAAGATCAGTGCCAGCTGCTCCGTCATCTCTTAAAGTCCTTGTGTACTTTCCTCAGAAGGCCCTGTTAATCAACTGTCCAATTCCCTGCACATGAGCCTAACCTTCCCAACCCTGGATTTATTAGAATTGGTCCTTCACTGGGGCTTTCCTTCCCAATTTATATAGTTAGTACTTTGTGAGCAACAAGTACTGTGTTTTTTATTTTTTTCCCCATATTACCAGTGGATCCTGGCAAGAGCTAAGCATCCATAAAATCTATGCTTTGGAGCAACACATTCTAGATGCCACTGAATCAGAATCTCCGAGTTTAGGCATTGGAGTCTTTCTCTCAAGTTCCCTTGTGATTCTGACCATCTTGTGGTTGGTGAATCACAAGGATGGAGAAGCCATCGAAATTCAAAGACCCCATCAACTTTTTAAAAATAATTCTTGGAGCAGATGTCTGCATAGACCAACCAAATGGTCACTAAGCCCTTTGCATCAGAAGGAACCTCAGGTTTGATCATGCTTTTAACTCTTCTCTATTATAAATCATTTTAAGAACCCCTTCTGGCACTACAACCAACCCTTGTCAGTCTTTATGTGCCTGATTTCTCTGATGTCAAATCATGCTGTTTAATGTGGTGACTGCTGTTAAGTCCAAGGAACTAAGACACACAACTTTAATGAGCACGGATTGATTACTCCCATTCTAGTGCTGCAGTTTGTGAGCCAGTCTGACAACATCCAGTCCTGCAAGTTTGCTCAGACGATGGAACAAAGACTGCAGAAGGCCTTTCAGGATGCAGAGAGGAAAGTCCTGAATACCAAGAGCAACCTGACAATTCAGGTAAGGAGGAGGGCACTTCTGCAATGTAGTTGACAGAAGCCAACCATGATGCACATGCTGGCAAGGCGACTGGCTCCCCTATTCCAAAGCTGCCTGGTGTAAATGTAACTTTGTACTTTGGGCGTGTGATGTAGACAGGAAGAGGTGCCACTCTGGGGCTGCGGAGTCGAGTCGGTCCTGGCATTGATGAGGATGCTGGAGTATGGGCATGATAGCAGGGAGGCTGTTTTGCTACCTACCTGCTATGGTTTGAGATTTTATATTTATTTTCCCATGTGAAGCTTCCTTGGGTCTTCCCAATACATTTGCTATTTTAAAAATGAAACTAGATATGCTGTAAAAGATATAGTCTCATAAAATGAAGAAAATGTCTTATAAAATGAATCCATTCTAAATAGCTGACTCATCAAGTTTTGCCTATCCTGTGATTTGCATTGCATTATTTTCTTTTTTAAGTTTATTTATTTATTGAGAGAGAGAGAGATCACACAAGCAGGAGGGGCAGAGAGAGAGAAAGAGAGAGAGAGAGAATCTCAAGTAGGCTCTGCACTCAGGGCTCAAACTCACAAACCTTGAGATCATGATCTGAGCCGAAATCAAAAGTTAGATGCTTAACCAACTGAGCCACTGAGGTGCCCCTGCATTGAGTTATTTTCTAGACATCCACATGCACAATCACCCTAGTTTAAACAAACACACAGACACACATACTTGGGGCTTACCATATGCCAGGACTGTGCTAGGTGTTTTAGAAATATTTTGCTTCATAATACTCAAGACATCCTCCTGAAGTATTATTATCATCATTTCACAGAAAAGGGAACCAAGAGAAAGGCTAAGAAACTTCCAGAAAGTTACATGGTTGGTAAAGAATGGAACAAAGATTTGAGTAAAAGCCCATAATCTTAAAGGAGACTGGATGGCTCAGTCAGTTAAGCACCTGACGTTGGCTTAGGTCATGATCTCAAGGTTCGTGGGTTTGAGCCCTGCATTGGACTCTGTGCTGACAGCTCAGAGCCTGGAGCCTGCTTCATATGCTGTGTCTCCCTCTCTCTCTCCCTTCCCCCACTCATGCTATGTCTCTGTCTCTCAAAACTGAATTAACATTAAAAAAAGCTTTTAAAGGCCCATAATCTTATTCACTGTGCTATACTCTGAAACTTTTGGGAAACACATGAATTCTTTCCCAGGAAAATATTACTCCTAGTATACTGTATTTCAGTTTACTGGATTTACAGTAGACATGCTACTAGAAGCTTTTCTGAGACCCACTTTTTGCAATTATATAGCTAACATCCCACTAAAGACAGATGCTTTTTAATGATATTCATACAGCCCCCAAATTTCTCTGATTAACTGTACAACTCAGTGTCTCTGATTTTACTGAACTAAATCCTTTGCAATTAAACCCAGTGGTTTTGAAATTGACATTTAGCATAAGTGAATTATCAGCAAAGCCAATATGATGTAGAAAGCATATAATTTAATTTGAACAAGTAGCTTTCCTTTTCTAGATTTATCCAAATTGTATATGGAAGTATCTCACTATGATTTGGTTCATATTAGATTAAGATCTAAAAACATGTCACAAACACAAGATTTATGTAAGAAGTATGACTCAGCTCCCTTGTGGGAGGTTTTTTTCTTTCTGATTGGATTTGTGATCCTCACAGGTGCATGATTCTAGTTAGGACTCAGCAGTAGGGCATATACTCTGATTGTATTCAGGAAGCACAGACCCATTGCATGCCTGCTATTTATCAGGCACTGGGAGAGACATCAAGATAAATAAGCTGACTTTGGTCTTAAGAAGCCTCTCTTGTGCTGTTGTATGATAGTAATGGGCCATGAACTTAGTAAAGCAAGTAGCAAACTTCCCTTAGAAAAGACTATAACAGACAATTTGAAAACTGCATTTACATTTTTTTAATTTTATTATTTTTAGAGAGAGAGAGAACATGTGAGTGGGGGGCATGGAGAAGGGTAGAAGGAAAGAGAGAGAGAATCTTAAGTAGGCTCCATACCCAATGTGGGTCTCAGTCTCATGACCCTGTGATCATGACCTGAGCCAAAATCAAGAGTCAGATGTTTAACCAACTGAGCCAACCAGGTGCCTCTGCATCTACATACATTTTAGATGCTCTTGAACATTTCAGCAGCTCTTGAAATGAATGAATAACTGGGTGAATTGTTTTATTAACCCTATTTCACTTTTTGCCATGGCTGACAGGAATTCCAGAACCAATTTGTTGCCTGGATTCTGGAACCCTATATGCAAAGGCCCCTATATCATGCATATATTAACTACATGCTAACCATCCCTCTGGGGGTGTCTTTAATCCCCCTGGGCTTGTTCCCTGGGCTGGTTTTATAATTAATAATTTTCCATTTTATGATATTAAATATAATTTAGAGGGCAGCTTGGATTCTTTCTGGAATAAGACCACATAAATATTTAATTAATTTGTTCACAGTGTCATTGAAAAGTGACTTTTCTTTTTTTTTTTTTACTTGTGTAGCATTGGTATTAGGGACAAGATTACAGTAGATTTGATGAGGACCTTTTTGGTTGTGAATTGAAGCATATAAGACTTAAACAAAAAGAAGTGATTGGCTCATATAGCTGAAAAGTTCACAACATATTGCCTTCAGGCCCAATTTGAGTCAGGTGCTTATATGATTTCTTCATGAAGTTCTCTCTTTTATCTTGGCCTTGCCCTGGATTCCATCATCTTCAGGCCCTTGGCCTCTGAAAATGGCCAAACCTCCAGGTTTGCCTCATCCTTATTGCTCACAGTCTTATAGAACCAAAGTGCTTTTTTGTGGCATTCCAGTAAAAATCCTGGGATTAGCTCTCATTGGACCCACCTGGACTATGTGCCCATTTCTGGAGCAGTAACTGTGGCCAAGGAGAGAAAATGTTCCAATCATCTAGGCCTGGCTATGCCCACTCCTAGAGCTTGAGCACATGAACCCAATTGGAGAGAAGAGGTGTTTGCCAGAGGAAATTATGGTGCTGCCATAGAAGAAGGGAAGATGGATTCTGAGTAAGCAAAACAACAGCATTCCATTCCGCTAGCATTTTTTAGGTCTGATTAGCTAAATGGATTGTGTCATGAGTGAGTGGGAAGTAAGAGATAAGGTCAGAAGCCACAGGAATCTAAGAGTAAAGGGATAATGGGAAAGTGCCCCCTATAGAGGCTGCTTGTACTGGGGTCAGGATATGATTTTCAAGGAACATTGACATGACCTTAGTTCAGGCCTGTGAACCTCTTCTTATTTATGAAACTAATTTTAAGCAGCCACCAAGAATGGTCACACTTTTCTTAACTATAAAAATGAGACTTAATAGACCAAAAAGGAAAAAAAAAGGACAATCTGTGCTTATGAATTGGAAGACTTGATATTGTTAAGATGTCAGTACTGCTCAGAACGATCTACAGATTCCATACAATCCCTATTAAAATCCCAGTGATTTTTTTTGTTGTTGTTGCAGAAATAGAAAAACCCATCCTAGAATTCATATGATTCATATGGAATCTCAAGAGACCATGAATGGCCAACACAATCTTGAAAAAGAAAAACATAGTTGGAGTTCTCGTGCTTTCTGATTTCAAAACTTACTACAGAGCTACAATAATCAGAACAGTGTGATACTGGCATAAAGACACATATAGACAAATGGAACTCAAGCAAAATTGCAAAAATAAATCTTTGCCTATGTGGTCAAATGATTTTTGACAAAGGTGCCAAAACCATTCAGTGGAGAAAGGACAATCTTTTCAACCAATCGTATTGGGAGAACTGGACATCCACAAACAAAAGAATGAAGTTGGACCCTTATCTAACATCATATACAAAAATTAACTTAAGTGGATCAAAGATCTAAACATGAGAGCCAAAACTATAGGACTCATAGAAGAAAACAGAGGAGAAAACTTCATCTTATTGAATTTGGCAATGATTTCCTGGATATGGCACCAAAAGTATAGGCAACAAAAGAAAAAGTAGTTAAATTGGACTTCAGAATTAAACACTTTTGGGGTGCCCAGGTGGCTCAGTCAGTTAAGCTTCTAACATTAGCTCAGGTCATGATCTCATGGTTTATGGGTTTGAGCCTCATGTTGGGCTCTGTGCTGACAGCTCAGAGCCTGGAGCCTGCTTCAGATTCTGTGTCTCCTCTCTTTGCCCCTTCCCCACTTACTCTCTGTCTCTGTCTTTCAAAAATAAATAAATGTTTAAAATTTTTTTAAAAATTAAACACTTTTGTAGATCAAAGGACACAGTTGATCAAAAGACAACCCACAGAATGGAAGAAAATATTTGCAAATCATATATTGGACAGGGAATAAATATCTAGAATATATAAGAACTTCTACAGCTAAAAACATAAAAACAATCTGATAAAGAAGTGGGTAAACAGCTTGAATAAACATTTCTCCAAATAAGATATATAGATGATCAATAAGCACATGAAAAAATGTTCTACATGACTGATCATTAGGGAAATGAAAATCAAAACCACAATATACCACTTCACACCTATTAGGATGACTATTATAAAAAAGAAAAGGGATACTTGGATAGCTCACTTAGGTTTAGGTTAAGAGTCGGACTTCAGCTCAGGTCATGATCTTGTGGTTCATGAGTTTAGGTTCCATTTTGGGCTCTGTGCTGACAACTCAGAACCTGGAGCCTCCTTCAAATTCTGTGTCTCCCTCTCTCTGCCTCTCTCTCTCTCTTTCTTTCTCTCTCTCTCTCTCAAAAATAAATAAACATTTAAAATTTTTGAAAAGATAAAAAATAAGTGTTGGTAAAAATATGGAGAAACTGGAACCCTTGTGCACTGCTGGTGAGCTTCTCAAATGGCATAGCTCTGTGGCAAATGGTATGGTGGTTCCTTAAAAAATTAAACATAGAATTACCATATGAGCCAGCAATTCTACTTCTGGGTATATACCCAAAAGAAGGTAGGGACTTGAACAGATATATGTATACCCATGTTCACAGCAGCATTATTCACAACATCCAAAAGGCAGAAGCAACCCCGGTGTCAGTGCACAGAAGGGTGGACAAGAAATGTGGTATATACATCCAATGGAATGCTATTCATCTTTAAAAAGGAAGGAAATGCTGACATATGCTACCACATGGACGGACCTTGAGGACATTATGCTAAGTGAAATAAGCTAGTCACAAAAGGACAAATACTATATGATTCCACTTATAAAAGGTGTTTAAATCTGTCAAATGAATAGAGACACAAAGTAGAATGGTGTTTTCAGGGGCTGGGTAGAGGAAGAAATGCAGAGTTGTTTAATAGGTACAAAGTTTCAGTTTGGGAAGACGAAAAATTTCTGGAGATGGATGGTGATGTCCACACAACAGTGTGAATGTGCTTAAGGCTACTGAACTGTATACTTATAAGGGTTAACATTATAAATTTATGTATATTTTTGCCACAGTTTTTTTTTTAGAAGTTATAACTTACCAGATCCAATGTAGTTTCTGTAGAAGTATTCACACTGCAAGTTCTATAGACATCTTTGAGATCCACTGAGATTTAGTTTTGTTGAAAAACAAAAAATAGAATGTTCACACTAGAGATAATGGTCAAAAAGTTATTTTAGTTATTATTTTTTAAGGTGACAGTATGGTGAGGTCTTTTGAATTGTTCAGAAAGAAGCACCTTTATTTTTGGTACACTGAGAAAGAGGCATGAATACCTGTGGCTCAACCGCATTCCAAAAATATTTTCAGAAAGGAAAGAGTTGACCAGAAACATTGACTGAGTGTATCATTAATCATGGGACTATAGATTCTGTGTTAGAAAATTGCATAGCAACTTCCAGGGGTACCTGGGTGGCTCAGTCGGTTGAGCATCTGACTTCAGCTTGGGTCATGGTCTCATGGTTTGTGAGTTGGGGCCCTGCGCTGGGTTCTGTGCTGATGGCTCAGAGCCTGGATCCTGCTTTGGATTCTCTCTCTCTCTCTCTCTCTCTCTGCCCCTGCCCCAACTCTCAGTCTATTTCTCTCTCAAAAATAAAAAACATTTAAAAACTTTTTTTAAAAAAGAAAATTATATAGCAACTTCTACTTATGGGAAAAAGTGAGAAATAATGAGAAGAAGCTATTCTTGACCATCTTTTTAAAAATAATGTCTAAAAGGGAAGTCGCAGGGATATTTATGTCTGAACACACAAAGGTCTTGGAAAGACAGGATATCAGTCAGCTCCTTGCAGGAAAAGAGGGCACACTCAGATACAGGTAATTTGAAGAAAGTCTAATAAAAGGGACCCTTTGCAGAAGCATGGGCAGGCTCTCGGAAGACCACAGGTGAGTGTAGTAGCCAAGGCTGTAAGTGTTAGGGCCTTATAGGGCAAGGGGAAAGAGCAGTTATGGGAAGCAGAGGCCAGAGCTGCTCCCGTAAGCGCCATGCTGTGGGAAGGGAGTCCCTGACACACCAGTTCTCTGACCCCACTCTCCTTCCAGTCTCTCACATCCTCCTGAGCTGCTTTTAGCTGAAACCAGAGGGAAGGGAGCCCAATAAGTAGTCCACAAGTGTCTGCCTTTGGGGGCTCCAAGCAAAACCAGGGCAGGAGTGGGTGGCAAGTGAATCTGGAAGGGGAGAAGACACAGAACAGACCCCAGCACAGAACCCCATGCTGTCTCACCAAATTAAATAGCTTCCTACTGCATTTGTTTTTCCAATCTCATCTGTGGGATATTTTTGTCCATACATTGACCCAGAAAACCACATTTTCCAGTAACGAGAAAACCGACTTAAACAAAATTCAAGAAGAAAACCACACGATCTCCTAGTAATATTTACATATTCTATATTGAATTTAATAGGTCACAAGGAAATGTAATCATTCTCTAAAGAGGCTATTTTATATTTCTGAATTCCTTTTGTAATCGGGTTTAATCAGTCTGTTCACTAGTGTGGTGATCAGCTGCGTAGAAACCTCAGCGTTCCCCCCAAATTTAACACAGGCTTTCTCTGAGCAGTTGAGGCCTCTTAGATTTAACATTTCTATGCTCTATTTTGTATTTTCAGAACCATAAATGTAACCTGAGACAGTTTAGCCCCTGGAATAGATAGACATACCTGGTTAAAACCTGAAGTCAGACTGTCTGGGTTCAAATCCTAGCTACAAAACTTATCTATTATCTATGTGATCATGGGCAAGTCTCTTGATCATTCCAGGCCTCAGTTTGCTCCTCTATAAAATGGAGCCATAACTAGATACACTTCATAGGGTTGTGGTGAGGATTGAATGAGATCATGTGTCCTCCGCACGATGCCTGGCACTCAGCCAGCAATCCATAAATGACGAATATTGTTATTCTTGTCTTTTCCTTGCTTTTCTTAACCTCCCTCTCATTCCTGCCCTCAGCTTCTGCTTAAACTTCTCCTCCCATGGCTTCCATGAAACAGACCCTCATCTTATTTGGCATGTCTCCCTCCCCTTTTCTCCTGTGTCGATTCAGATTGTGAGCACATCCAACGCCTCCCAGACAGTCACCTTGGTGTACGTGGTGGGCAATCGGAGCTCCTTCCTCAATGGCACAGTCGCCAGCAGCCTCCTCCGCCAGCTCTCGGCTGAGCTGGTTGGGTTCTACCTCACCTACCCGCCGCTCACCATTGCCGAACGTGAGTATGTTCATACCACACAGGGATGCTGCCTTTTCCCCCTTCTCTTGGGCCCCCTCTCCATTTGACAAACATGTTTTGTGCCAGGTACATACAAACTCTTTTATCATGAAACAACTGAAGTTGGTGATAAAACGGGATTGACTTGATAACAAGTGTATTGTGCACTGAACAAAATCATTTGCTAGGTGCCTTTACTGTTCCCATTTCTTACATCATCGAATCCTCACGAAGCACCCTATAAGTAGTACAGAATGAGCCCCACTTTGTAAAGGAAAAAACTGAAGTTCCAAGAAGTATAACAAGATGCTCACTGTCACAGCTAATGAGACATGGAACCTAGGGTTTGAATCCAAACAGTCTGCCTTTGAGCTTACAGTAACTGCCCTGTAGGGCTTCTGTCCTTGTGGCATTCTGGGTTGCTATGGTTTCCACCCACTTGTGCCATCAGCAAATCCCAGGCCTTCAGCCCTTGCCCTGGTTATAGATACCATAATGCAACTCATTTGCAATCAGCATCGTGACTTTACTAGATGAAGTCCCCATAGCAGTCTTGTGGCCTCCTCTTTCTCTGATGTTTCAGTTATATAATCCTCATTACCATGTAGCAGGCATAGACTCCAAAGACAGTGCAGCCTACATTTTGTACCCAGACACTTACTTGGTAGCCAAAGGAAGTCAAGATTTGTGCTCTTAAATGTAATTGTTAATACATTTCTCAAGGTCACTGGTCAAGTTTTTTTCTTAAACCCACAGTAGCAAAATTGTTTCTATTTCCTTCTGTGGTGCGTTTGATACTGTGAATAAAGTTATGTGTGTGGATACTTAGCACACAGTAGCCACTCAGAATTTTTCTGACTGTTTAATGACAAGATTTTGCGAATTTCCACATAGTAAGGAAAGATGACTCTGGATTTTGTGGAAAGAACGATGTCATGAAAAATGGCATTATGCCACACGGCGGCATGTGAAGAATTTTATTTTATTTTCTCTTGATATTCTGATAATAACAACAATTAAGATTTATTGAGCACTTACTATATGCCAGGCACCGTGCTAAACCCTTTACATGAATTAGCGCTTATGGCCACCATACCTATGAAAAAATCGGGACTGTGTGTCACAAATATTTGGCTAATAATAAACCTAGTCCTTGACCCTGGCAAAATCCATTCGAGAGAGGATCGTTCCTAAAAGTATTAGTGATGGTTGGATAGTTTTTACAAAGAATGCTATAGTTAAGACATGTTCTAGCTGTGAGTTTTGATAATGAAGATGTTCCACTTAGGAAGGTTTTGATGAAAAATCAGAAAGAGCAGAAATTTACAAACCCTAGAAAACTCTTCATCTGAAAGTCAGCCCTTTACTAAGTATTTTACTTTTCAGAACAGCAAAATAGTTTTGGCCTGTATATCCTGGAGACCCCAAGAATTATGAAGCTGAATTTAACTTTTTGATATTTTGTTACATGTGTCCCTTTTCCTTAATAATATTTACATATAAAATCTATGAAAGTAACTTGCTGGGTTTCTTATTTGTTTTAGCGCTGGAATATCCCAACCTTGATATATCAGAAACAACCAGAGACTATTGGGTAATAACAGGTAATGTCTTATTTTACTTCCCTTCCCGCCTATCAGGTCGGTGTATTTTTTAAAAAACTGCATGTCAAAAGAAGACCCAAAAACTAAATAATATTATTTAATTTTAATATTTATTTATTAATATTTATATTATTAATTAAATATTTATATTATTAATATATTTAATTATTTAATAATATTATTAATTATTATTAAAACTGCATACCATTCATGATAGGATCAGCATCTTTTCTTTGGTCCTGTTTTTTTTTAAAGAAGTAGTTTTTGAAGTTTATTTTTTATTTAACCTGAGAGAGAGAGAGAGCAAGGGGGGAAGGGGCAGAAACTGAAAGAGAGAGAGAATCCCAAGCAGGCTGTGCACTTCCAGCATAGAGCCTGATGCAGTGTTCGATATCACCAACCGTCGGATCATAACCTGAGCTGAATCTAGAGTCAGATGCTTAACCGACTGAGCCACCCAGGTGCCCCTCTTTGGTCCTGTCTTATAAGTCAAGGAGTTACTTTCATAGGGCCAGAAATGGGTAAAGTAAGCTAAGAAAAGATACCATACTGAATATTAGGTAACCATTCAAAACAGCAAACTGTATAGTCCCATCTGCTGGCCTCCTCTGCAAAAAGTAGACAATCAGAAGGTATACAGTAACCTGTGGATGTTTAGGGAATGTTCCTGGGAATAGTTATCTATTTAAAGATGGTGGGCCTTTCTGCAGTGCCCTACAAAACCCCAGTGAAAGGCAGAGGAATGCTGGGCATGCACTTTTCACTTTCCTCCGGCACATGCCCCACACCTACACCGATCCTGGTGGAACCCAGCCATGTCCTGACAGTGAGGGTGGATGGAAGTAGAAGGGAGTTTGGGTGACATTTTCTTTTTTTCCTTGACATTTCCCAGCTGAGCCTTATGAAACAGCAAAAAACTTCTTGTTTGTGTTTTTCCAAGGCCAGGCAGTTGCTCTGAAAATCTTACAGAAAGCAAGGGTTGGGAGCAAAGAGAGAAGACAGATGTTAGTGGGAGGAAGTGACCAGCCCCGCTGTACACGGAGAGGGGCCAGGGAGGGGAGGGTATTAGCTTGGTAGAGACGCCATAGCAAAGCACCACAGACTTTTGGGGCTTCAGTAGCAGGCATTTACTTTCTCATAATTCCAGAGGCTGGAAGTCTGACATCAGAGAGTCACCAGGCTTGGTTTCTTCTGAGGCCTCTCTCCTTGGTTTGTAGACAGCCATCTTTCCTTGGTGACTTCCCTCTATGCGTGTCTGTGTCCTAAACTCCTCTATTTTTTTTTTTAAGTTTATTTATTTTGAGAGAGAGGGAGAGAGAGAGCACAAGAGTGCAGATTGGGGAGGGGCAGGGAGAAGAAGAGGGAGAGAATCCCAAGCAGACTCTTCCCCACCAGCACAGAGCCTGACACCGGGCTCCAGCCTGTGAACCATAAGATCATGACCTGAACCAAAACCAAGAGTCAGATGCTCAACTGACTGAGCCACCCAGGCGCCCCTAAATTCCTCTTCTTATAAGAATACCCATCCTATTGGATAAGGGCACCCATATGACCTTATTTTACCCTAATCACCTCTTTAAGGACCTCATCTCCAAATACAGTCCCATTCTGAGGTACTGGGGGGTTAGGTCTCAACATACGGATTTTGAGAGGACACAATTCAGCCCCTAACACGGAGGGAGGAAGATCCTACAAGTCGTGGAAGTTGTGTCTGGGCAAGCCAGTCTGAAACCTCCCTCCCTTCGCCCCTGCCCTATTCCCTCCCTCACCTGCTGTCCCAAACCAGCAGTAGACAGGCTGCTGCCTAGAATCCTGACAAAGGAGCACACAGCCCTACTCAATGAGGCCCACTCCAGACCTCTCTGGAATGGCAGAAAATCACATTGCTTTCTTCCTGGTAGAGCCGTGGATATGCAGACATTATTTTACCTGCTAAGAAGACAAACTAAAGAAACGTTAGTTTAAAAAAATTTTTTAATTTAATTTGAGAAAGACAGAGACAGCATGGGTGGGGGAGGGGCAATGAGAGAGGGAGAGAGAGAATCCCAAGCAGGCTCCACGCTGCCAGCACAGAACCAGATGTGGGGCTTGAACACATGAAGCTGTAAGATCATGACCTGAGCTGAAACCAAGAGTCAGGTGCTTAACCGATTGAACCACCCAGATGCCCCAAGAAATCAGTTTTAAAAGAAAAATAAAGATGGAGTTTGTGCCTGAGAGGGAGGTGATGCTAACCCAGCAGTACCATTTTGAACCAGCAGGTTACAAAGCACTTCCAGAAGCATGTTTCTTCCACCAGGAATGCTGCTCTTTACCTTGCAGACGTCTCTCCTAGTAACTGTAAGGTTTATGCTAAATGGTAACACATCTGCCCTCAAACACCAGCTGTCCGTGACAGCCTCCTGTCTCACCTTTTCCTCGTGTACCCGAGTCCTGCCCTGACTCTGTTTTAATAGCATAACCTTCACAAAACCATCCTGGGACTTCGCCTCTTGCCCACTCAGCTGTGTAACCGTCATGTATCTATGTTGTTGCTGTTGTTGCTGCTGCTAATTGGAATAACCAGTGGCCTCTGTCACTGTGTTTGGGACTCTGGTTGCACCAGCTAATTCCCATGGGTGGGGAGAGGACCGGCCTCAAGATGGCCCTTCTTCCTTCCCACTAGCCACCACCTGCCTTTGACCATCATTTATGGGAACTGGGATGAAGGTAACTTTGTTCATCCTGCTCCGAGGCACATCTCCTTGAATAGCCACTCTGCCCTTCACTCCCAGATGTGTGTCAAGGGCACTGCGTCTTCTCCCCTGATTTGCAGCAACTCAGAGGGTGGAAAACAACTTTCCTTTCTATAGTTGGTATTATAAAACCCTGACATGTTTCCATCTGCTTCCCCACTAAACTTATATTAAATATGTTTTTACACGCAGTTCACTTCTCCCTTCCCTGAGCGTGGGTCTCCTGTGGCTTAGTTGGGGTGATTCCTGCAGCCCCCTCTGCTGTCCATGGATCCTGCAGTCAGGATTGTGTATAAGCAGCAGGACAGAGATGCACAGACTTCATATTGCTGCCTCACAGAGGTCAGAGCCCATCTTAGGTTTATCCACTTGTCTTTATTGAACCCACCAGTCAAAATATCCCAGACCCAGCAGTCTTATGATTTCTTCTGTTCTTAACCCGGCTGCTACTAACCTTGTCCTTGAGCAAGTCACTCAGGCCCTCTGGGTGTCACACTCTCACCTGTGGAATGAGGAAAAGATAGGAGCTGAGCAGTCCAGTTCTTTTGGCTCTGAATGTATGGGATTCAGTTACACATAAAACAATTCATCTTCAACATAGGAAGCTGAACCAGGCTGACCTGACTGCTGGAATTTTAGAGCCCAGTGCAGTTGTAAATAAAGAAGGAATAAGGATCCAGTGATGTAACAGCCACCGAATCTTCTGGATGAGCTGCTTTGAACACAGCTGGGACTTGTCCGCCTCCTCTGAGCTGAGTCAGTGGCTAAGGGTGGGTGACCAGGGCCCTGCTGATGTGCTGAGGGGCTGCTGCCTTCCTGGGCACATGTGCCAGGGTCCAAGGTCCCCTACTGCTTCTGGGTCACTATGAGAGACATCATCTCACATGCCTTTCCAGGCTCTTCTGGGCAGGTGGAGAAGACTGAGAGCCTGGGGCCTGCCATACCTCTCAGTGGGAAAGAAAGGAGCTACAATCCTGGAACAGGGTTATTTCTTCCTCTGGGAAGAATGTGTCTAGCAAGAAAGGGGCACATTAGAGCAACAACAACAGCCAGCATTTATGGGCATCCTCTCTAGTGCCTTTTAGCACGATGCTCGAAGCATCTTTCTTAGAAAGTGTTGTTCTCCATAATGACACAATCAGAAGTAGCTCATGTTCCCTGTGTATTCAGATGAGGAACAAGGGTCAGAGGAACTAAGGGACTTGCCCAAGAGTACTCAGCAAGGGGATGCCAGGATGTGAACCCAGACCCTCGGTTTCAACCCCCAGTTCTTCAACAGGTGCTTAGGAGGGACACATTCTCTTTGCAAACAGAGCGGTGAGGCACATGGGAACTGCCCAGTTGTGGGTTTCGTGTAACTCTGTGGAAGGTTCCCACAGCCCCCTGCAGTGCCCTGAAGGTTGTGGTTTTTTTATTTTCCTTCAATTTAAAAAATTGGGGTAAAATACACATAATGTGCAATTTACTATTTTAACCATTTTTAAGTGTACAATTCACTGGTATTAAGTATGTTCACAGTATTGGTGTAGCCATCACCATTATTTCTGGAGCTTTTCCATCACCTGGAGACATTGACTGTCCCTTCCTTTGATGTCTGTCCTTGAACCATCACTGGGATTCCCTTAAAGTAATCCAGGATGATGCCCTTTGACTGCCCTGTGTCCCCACTCTTACCCTTGTCTGTAGTCAGGAGAGACCAACTTAAAAGTAGTTTTTCATCAGTGGTTCTATAATTTTACTAGAGGGGCATCTTTGAAGCAGTAAGGATGAAGGTTCTGCTATCTGGGGCCAAGAGTTAGGCAGCCCTTCCTCAGCCTGACAGCTCGTCAGGAGGAATTCCGAGGGGTCTTTCAGGGACTCACTGCAGAAGGAACAGTGCAGGCATGTTTCATCTTTGTTTGCAGGAATTCTGCTAACAGATGATCTGGGAGTCCCTCACTAGGGCCTTGGAAAGAGAGCTGCTTTGTGCCCTCCATGGGGATTATTTAGCATTTATGGCTTCAAAGAAGTAATTTCTGAGACTCAGCTGTGGGTTTTATTTTTCTCTTGGTCGGTTTCAGCGTCATTCTCTGAATCGTGTTGTTATCAGTTGCTTGTTCTGGCCTTATACAGAATGCTCTCAACAACAGCTCATTCTTTATATTCAGACTATTTCCATATCCCTGTAGATGGGTGGTCTTAATGACCCTTGGCTGGACTGTGGTAGAAGAAACTCTGTTACATGAAAAGTCTTGTATTACTTTCCCAGCCCATGATAAGTTTTCATCTCTTTGAAACGCTGAGAAGTTTTTAAAGCATTTTTAATTTCAGGGATGACTGTTTGGAGGCAGTATTTGTGTGTTTGGGGTTAAGTGTATTTCCCAAGGGACTTGGAGGAAGGACTGGGCTTTGGGGGTAGATGGGCCAAAGGAAGTTGTTCCCGTGGTAGGTGACTGTTCCAGGCCCAGGACGGCCCTGGTGTTCACTGTGGTCCTCCTCTGTGCAGTAGCCTGGAATTCCAGCTACCCAGATAGCCCTGGGTATAGAGAAAACAGCAGTGAAGGAAGGATGGAAAGAGGGGCCTCATTTCCCTTCTATGCACTAGGCACTGTGCTAAGCTGTTTTGTACATCTTGCCTCATTGCAACCTTACAGCCCGTAAGAGTAGATGTGCTATGATATCGACTTTCTTACTCCCTTTTTACAGAGAAGGACTAGGAGGCAGAGAGAGCCAGTGGCTTGCCAAAGTCCCACGACTGACAAGCACCAGCACGGAGACAGAACCCACTCTTTTTATTATTACTTTATTGTTCCGCTCTCAAATGGGACAGTATCTGAGAGGCCCTGGGCCACTTTAGAGGTGGGTCCTTTTGGACTACCTCCATAGAGGAGGGAGAGACAAGGACACTGAACAGAGTGGCTTGTCTACCTATACGGGGCTGAGTTGCAGGGTGGAGCTCAGATTCCTTAGCAAAGCTGCTGAGAAGGGAAAATATAATAAAGATAGCCTTGAGCCAGGGCTTCTGAGTGGGAACCAGTAAAAAAAAAAAAAAAGAATCCAATTAGTCATACCTGCAGCTATGCTGTATTCCCATATGGTCTCTAACAACACATAACACCTTAAATGAGGTTTGGATTAAATACAGCAGCATTAAACATGTCACAGCTTATGGAGGAGAGAGCCCAGGCATTGGAGTTACATAAGCATGGGTTTGAGCCCTGGCTTTGCTGGTTATTAGCTGTGTGACCTTAGACAAGTCATATAACCTTTCAGCATCTATAACATGCAGACAGTGGTCCCTAATTCCTGGGGCTCTTGTGAAGGTAAAGTGGGGTAAGGATGGCCAAGGCCTAACATGAGATAGGTCCCATGGCCCTTAGTGGCTGGTGTAGGGCCGATGGTGGTTGTGGTTTCTGGATCCGAGGGGAGCCTGTCCCCTGAGCAGCGCCTCTGCCTTCTGCATCCACAGTGCTACAGGGCGTGGACAATTCGCTGGTGGGCTTGCACAACCAGAGCTTCGCCCGGGTCATGGAGCAGCGCCTGGCCCAGCTATTCATGATGTCCCAGCAGCAAGGCCGGCGGTTTAAACGGGCCACCACCCTGGGAAGCTACACCGTGCAGGTGGGTGTATGTGTGCCAAGCCACTGGGATCTTGTAATACATATGTGGGAGTGCCCTGAGACTGAGTAAACTGTGCTGTGTGCAGACGAGCACCTACACTGCACACTGACTAAGCCATGTAATCAACACTGCTCTTAGATTTGGGGGGTTCATGATCCTAAGCATCAAAGTCATGGAAGAGGGTGAGAGGTAGCTACTCTCCTGTGTTACTGCTAGATTGTAAGGTTTCAGAACAAATTCTGCACGTGTGCACATATTTATTAGACAAAAGTGATTAGCAAACAAGCACAGACTTTCTTTTCCCCAACCTGTTCTGGAGACTGGATGGAGTCCCAGAGCTCAGGACCTTCCGATCCCTTGCCACAACTACTATGGATGGCAGACGCACCAATCAATATTGGTTATCTTATTTAGTCAGTTTCAACAAACAGAGCCCCCCATGTTTATAATGGTCAGGTGATTACATGGGGATTCGAGTGAGGAAGCTGTAGCAGACACTGCTGGTGCATTGCCCAAATCCAATCCCCTTCCCATTTCTACTGATTACTACTGGGCTTCCCACAGCCACTGCTGAACCTTTATTGAAGGGCTGTTCTTGAGATGCCAGAACCCACTTTGTCCATGCCGTGGCTGGCTAGAAGTACCTGGGAATTAACTAATGGTGGGGTGTGAATATAGCAGCTCTCTTGCTTTGTGGCTAGGGGAATTCAAAAATGTATGTTTTCAGTAATTGCCAGAGATGTCCCATAGAATTAAGCTTTAACTACCCACTGTGGTAAGCAGATTAATAATGTACCTCTCGCTGGTTCCCTCCCACCCCCTGAATCACCTCTTCACCCTCCCATCAGTTCCTTGCACCTCCCAAATAATCCATCTACAAGCATTTAGCTCTTCTCAGAGTCCACCTCAGAGGGAATCCTACAGACACAATGGCCATCCCCAAGGTAGAGGCTCCAAGCTTCTTTAGATTCTTTATTCAATTTGAGCAAGTGTGGGAACCATCTCTGGCATTCTAGCCAATCCACGCATCTTGTATACCACTAATTTCACCAAAACTGAGACTGCATTGCTAACATTTGTTATGCTAATTAACAAAGCTCTGTTGAGCAAGATGTCAAAGTATAGAATTGCTCTTGGTGGGTGCCTCCGGAGTGTGGGCTTCCTAATTGGAATTGAGCAGATTGCCCCTAGAGTGTGAACTCATGATTGGCAATTGCCACATCTAGGGTGTGACTTCAAACACACATGCTTGATATCACCATGTCTAGGAGAGGAATCGTTTTATAGAAAAATACAGACATTACTCCAGTCTGTCTGTAGATCGTGTTATCAGGCAATTTTGAAAGTACAAACAACTCATTTACTGGACCACAGTTCCTTGCCTGAGTCAAGCATCATCCCTTGAGGGAGACTCGAGGTCCTCTATTCACAGTTGGTGAATTTGGCCTCTTAGATGCTGCTTTAGCCTGTGACCAGGTAAAGTGATGGTTTATTTCTTGTGCTGGGTTTATGGTTTACCCTCTCTGCGGTCCATGTGAGCCCTATAATTCACACTTCTCCAAATAACAGGAAGGAAGTTGCTGGGACTCAGACAGTGAAATGGGCTTTGCCTCAGCTGAAGGGGGAGAAAGAACGACGCTATAATCCTGGTGTTTTTTGTAAACCTAAGAAACCTCACCCATTCTACATGTCTAAAAGAGCCCTCTGAGATATGCTTTCCTCATTTCTTCTGAGTACTCAACGTGACTGGTCCCATAACTGCCTGAAAAGTCTGAGTGAAGTAAGTAGGGATTTATTTCTGCAAATCCCTAATTTGTAGAGGCAGTAGATCACCTTCTAACATCAGTCTTGGAGAAGTCTCAGTAAGAAGAATTTGCTATAAAATTGAAATTGAGTGAAGTTATTAAATATTTGAAAGTCCATTCACCTTCTACCTGGTTGTACTAACCCTCTTCTTACCTCCTCTCCCATGAGGGACAGGGATGCTATGGCCAAGTTTCCCAAATAAAATTTGCTCTTACATAGCTTATATCATTCTTCCACCCAGAGGCCTTTCTTCTGGGCTCAAATAATTTTAAAAGATGAGCCACCTTCATGAAGATGGAAACTCATATGTCTAGAATTTAAAGATGTTTCTTTAGTGAATGTATCTGAAAAATTGAGTCTGAAGAAGAAATACCTATGAACAATAAACATTTTTTTTTATGTTAACTCCATTTGTCATCAAAGTAATGCAAGTTTTAACTACCACAAGATATCATTTTCACCTACCAAAGATTTATGATGGTACTATCTGGTGTTGGTGAGGATGCAGTGAAATGGGCACTTTCAGACACAGTAAGTGGGTAGGGCCTTTGTGGAGAGCCAGTGAGCAATTTAGACAAGAACTTCTTGAATGGTCACAAACTTACTCCTGGAAATTTGTTTTGAGGAGAATAGAGGTGAACACAAAGACCAGAAGGTGAGAGCAGTGTTTCTCAGAGAGCATCCAGAAAAACAGTCCTATAAGGTACCCTGGGGCAAAGAGGCTCTGTGGCCACATCACTTTGGGCAAGGCCGCTTCCTGAAGATTCCCAAGGCTTGTTGGCATACCAAAGACTCTAAAAAGACCTGCAGTAAGGAAATTCCTTAATTTTGGTCAGCATAGTGGTTTGTAAATTTAAATGCCAATAAGATCCTTGTTTTTAGTGATATCTTTCTCTGACATTTTATTATGAACATTTTTAAGCCCACAGAAAGTTGAAAAATTTATATAGTGAACACCAATAAATTCACCATCTAGGTTTTACAATTAACCGTGTGCTATGTTACTGTTTTATATTTGGTAACATATATTCATATCCATAGCATAGATCAGTTTGGACTGTTCTAGAGCTTCATATAAATGGAAGTATATTCTCTTTTGTAGTATACTTCTCTTTTTGACTCCATGTAGTGTTTCTTGGGCTCATCATGTGTTATCCAGGAGCTTATTGCTTTTTATTGCTGAATAATATTCCTTCGTATGAATATACTAAAGTTTATTTACCCATTCTTCTGTTGATGGACATCCAGAATTTTTCCAGTTTTCAGCTACTTTAAACAAAGCTGCTATGCACATTCTTCTACAAGTCTTTCTGTGGTTGTATATTTTCATTTCTCTTGAGTATGGAGGAGTGGAGTTGCTGGTTAATAGAGTCGGTGTATGTTAGCTCTGTGACAAACTGCTAGACCTTTTCACAAAGTCTGTCACTTTACAATCCCACCATCCAGAGGTAGTTCCAGTTACTCCACACAGTCATTAACACTTGGTATTGTCAGCCCTTCTTATTTCAGTCATTCTGCTGGGTGATAGTGGTGCCTTGTAGTTTTACTTTTTCCTCCATTGAGCATTTTGTATATGCTTATTGACTATTCAGATATCTTCCTTTGTGAAGTATCTGGTCAGATTTTTTTAAACCCATTTTTTATTGGGCTGTAGTAATACCTCTTTTTAATTGTTATGTGTGCATGCGTACAAAGGAGTATAAAGACATGTAGACTTCAAAGAACACTAATGAAAAGAAGTCACAACCCAAAGAACATTACCCTTACCTTACCCTAGAAGCCTTTTATGTGTCTTCTCTGATTATGCCTACTCCTTTCCTTTCTATCAGAGTTGAGTGTGCTTCTGAATTTTGTTTTAAGTCATGCCTGTATTTTCTGTACAGATTTTACCATCCACATGTGTATCCCTAAATAGTACATCATTTGGTTTTGCTTGTTTTTGAATTTTATATTCAGCGATTTGTTTCTTTTGCTCATTATCAGATTTTTGTATTCACCCATATTGATACAAAGAGCCATAGTTTATTTATACTACTCTATAATATTTCATTGCATGACTATACCATAACTCATTAATCTGTTAGTGACTTTTGAATTTTCAGGGTTTTTGCTCTTGTGACCAATAATGTTGTAAACATTTCTGTCATACCTTTTAATATCCTATGAAACTCATAATCTCACTTATGAAACTCAAAATATACACTTTGGAAAATACTATACTATAATGTTTATCAGTTGTTAATTATAGTAGTGAAAACTTGATGACAAGATAACCATTCAAAAATGAAGTGTTTGTTGAGTTTATGAGGCATGAATAGGACAGAACATTAAGTATAAAAATTTATGTTTTATGTATTTATAATGATGAGTACTGAAAAATGAGTAACAATTTAAGTGTTTAACAGTAAGTGATTTACTAAATAAGTTTATGAGGTGTGCATCAGAATGCTGTTTAGAAATTAACATTTATGCTTTTGTTATATTTAAAGTAATTTAAGGATGCAAGTAAAAATAGCTGTGATTGAATCTAGATAGTGTGATAAATAACTTTGTAAAATACTAAATAAAAGATTTGTGTGGAAAAAACAATAGATGCAAATGCTCTGAGATAATAGAAATTGGTTTGTGGTAGAGGGATTGGAAATTGTTTTTATTTTATTTCATTTCTTGATGGCTTTCTGTATTTTCATACTTTCTGTAGTGAATATGTATAACTTGTCTAGGGAGAAAAAGCAACAAAGGTTATTTTAGAAAAAGAACTTTGAGTTTCCAAGTACTGCTTTTATCAGAGATCTTTTGAATTGCAGACATATAGGTTCATTTTCTTTTCCTCTCTGGCAATCGCAGGAGTTTGAAATTAGAAATCTTGTTTGAGAATAACCTAACATGCCCTGAATTAATGTGCAGGCCTATTTTCAAATGAGGCCAGAGTTCTCTGGAGGCTGGAAGACATCACCATTTCAGCGTTTTCTTCTCCAGTCTCAAGCTGTTCTTTCCAGATGTTCATATTTTCAGAACGTTTTTCTCCTCCCTGTCTCCCCTTCCAGCAATAGCAGCGCTTCTTGGGATGCTGGTGATGGGGAGGTACACAAAGGTTGAGCTCTAAAAAATATGTTGTGGGTCCAATTAGGCACCGAAGGCTTCAGCAATCAGGAGAGAGCCTGCTGATCGCCCAGGTGATTGCAGAGCCAGTGCAAGATGCCCTGTAAACATGGCCTCTCTTTTTCTGAAAGATGGTAAAGATGCAACGGGTGCCGGGACCCAAGGACCCGGCGGAGCTGACTTACTACACCCTGTACAACGGGAAGCCATTGCTGGGGACTGCAGCTGCCAAGATCCTGAGCACCATTGACTCCCAAAGGATGGCCTTGACCCTGCATCATGTTGTCCTTCTGCAAGCTGACCGTAAGGGGATAGTCTTTCCATTTGTTATTTTTAACGCCATTAAATGTGACCTGCAAATTAAAGTGATTCCCCAAACTCATGTTAATGGACCCAGAGCTAAACATATTTTGTGTTCCAGAAGGTTCTTAAATCAGTCAGCTATTTCCTGTGTTGTTTGAAGAAATAGGTTTGGGGTAAGGGATATGTTTTGGATACTAGGATGATGATAATGATAATTGCTTTGCCCCTAGTCATACCCATTCTTCCTCCTCACCATAGTCCTGTGTGCAGCTAGAAAAATCACCATGGCTGGAATTATATTGTCTGCCGGGGAATTAAAGATAATTTGATTCAGTAAGCATTTATAGAGTCCTGCATGAACTGTTCTCGGTGCTGGTGGACATACGGAAGTGGGCAAGACCTGGTCACTGCCTTTAAGGAGCAGAGGAGTTAATACAGATATAAAAGAGCAGAAAGCAGGTAAGTATAGTAGGGGGCAGAGTGATCTGGGGCTCAGCAGATGGACAGTTTGCTCTGAAGGGCCATCCAGAAAGAATGAGCAGAGAAAGGGTATTAAAAACAATACTTGCCTCCTCCGTGGCAGGTACTATGCTTGTTGCCTTACATGGATTTTCTCACTTTCTCCTCTCTTTGGGGCAACTTTATTCAGCTCCAAATTCCAGATGAGGAAACCTAGGTTCAGGAAAGTTAGCTAACTTGCTCAATATCACAGAACTGGTACTTGGATCACCAGGATATGAATCTGGATCTATCTGACTTCAAACGTGTGTTCTCAACTGTATCCTATGCTAAGATTTCATCAGGAGTAGAGGAAAGGTGTATATTCCAGAAAGAGGGAGTACCATGAGAAAAGGAAGAGAGGTGAAAAGTGCCAGACACGCTTGAAAAACAAAAGGTTAGAGTTGCCTGGAGAGCAAACATGTGAGGAAGAGTTGATGAGGTCAGAAAGGTTTTTTGCTTGGGAGACTGGGGCCTTAGATGGCAGGAGAAGGAGATTGTACATAATACAGTGGGCTGTGGCGAGCTATTGAGGATTTCTATGTGGGGGAGTAGTGTCATTAGAACTACCTGGTACTTAGGGAGGATAACGTGTCAGCAGTGTCCAGGATAAAGCAGCAAGACTAGTGAGGAGCCTGTGGTAGCCCAGGGATTGGGGACCCAAACAAGGTCTGTAAAGAAAATGAGGAGGGGGCGGTGATGAAGATAAGAGATCAGGTGATAGACACTTTAGACTTGGTAGCCTGCTGAGCATCAGGGCACGGAAGGTCATCTCCCATTGATTTCCTAGTTGATGTCCACACTCCTTAAGAACCTGACACCTGGCTCATGGTTTTCCTATTTTGCTCATCTCTTGCCTTCATCTGCAGTGGGTGGGGCTTCCACGTCGATGCAGAGTCACTTCTCCTTGGCCAACGGATTCTCACAGGCACACCTTTGCCTAGAAACGATGGTCACCCTGTGCAATCTCATCTTTGAAATGATGGTTTAAAGCCAGATTCTCTTCTTTTGTTCCTCTCTCCTTCCCTCCCTGTGGGCTCTGTCCCCATCTCTGGTCAGGTCAGCTACTTGCTTCACTGGTTTTGCTGCAGCCTTTTTATGTGCATTCTTCAAGTTTCCATTCTCCACTCTTTCTCCCTCTCCAGGTAGAGATAAATTACAAAGGACAGGAGTGAAAACCATGGCAGGTGCCCAAGAGAGAGGTGAAGGTGTTAGAGATAGAGACAAGACAAGTGTATGGATTTGACATATTTGGAGGGACATTGCCGATGGGGCAAGATAATGGATTCTGTGTGTGGCAGGAGTAGGTACGGGTCAGAGGAATCAAGGGTGACTCCCACATGTTTGCTTGAGCGCTGGTTGTGGTGTCATTTGTTGAGATGTAGAAGATGTAGGAAAGAAGGAGGTTTACTGGGGCTAGAGCAAGAGTATGGAGGTGGAATTGAGAGAGTTTGGTTTGGACATGTTAGGTTTGAGATGTCTATCAGACATCATCTTTGCAGAGCTCAGGAGCTAGAACCCCAGATGCATCAACACAGGTGATGGACCTAAGGGAGCAGGCGAGATTAACCAGATTAGTCATGGGTATAGCTGGGTAATCCACATGAGGAAAGAGCTAGGACCAGCAAAGGACACTGAGAAGGAGTAGCCAGGGAGATTGGAGGAAGCTCAGGAGAGAGTAGCATCCAGAAATAAGCAAAGAAAGGAATGTACTGAAAGGAAGTGAGCTGCTGTGTCAACTTCCATTCTTGAGAGGCAGCATACTATAAGGACAGAGATTAACTCAACTTGGTAAGGTAGAGATTGTTGGTGACCTCAGCAGGAGTGGTTTCCCGCGGAGGTGGTGGAGATACATGGCTAGAGTGTATTGAGGGGAGAATGGGGGTGTGGAGGCAGTGACAGCAAAGGGGAGAAATGAATGGTGCATTTGCTAGAGAGGCACATGGGAGATATTGGGGTACAGCTGAATATTGATGTGTTACTGTAGGAGAGAGGGGGAAATAGACAATGCAGAAGAGAGAGACAAGAACTTTCTGGGAGTGAAGTCCTTAAGTGGACAAGGCGGGTGACACAAGCAGAGGGGTCAGACCCAGTGAGGAGCAGGGACAGCTCATCCTGTTGCCCTGAGAGGGGAAGCAGAGTCCAAAGTGTGGGTGCCGGTCAGGTAGCCATTCAGTAATGGAGGCCTGAGGACATTTTCTGTGATTGTTTCTGCTCTCTTGGGACAGAATGAGGTGAGGTTGGCAGGTGAAGCTGAGGTTGTGTGCGGGGTGTTTGAGCAAGGGTGCAATGGTGCCCACAGAGAATCTGTGAACTGATTAGACAAATCTTCCCTCCTCAGGCTTCACTGCTATGTCCAAACTATTCCTTCTAGTCTCTCAAAATCCCAGATCCTTTGAAGCTGCCTCCCCCTCACTGCAGTCTCCTCCAGACCCCCTAGCTCTCCCCCATAATTCACTGGAGATTTAAACCCGATTCATTGTCTCTTCCTCTCCATCGCCTCTCCTGTCCCCAATCCATCCTCAGTGGTAACCAGTCGGTCCTGTGATCTTCTCACTTCTAACCCAGGCCTTGTGGTACTTGGGAAGGGGCAGGAAAAGAGAGCTGGCTTTATTTAGAGCAAAAAGTGAATGGGATGTCAGGAGGAAGGGTTGAGGCATGGGACTTAGCCTATGGTGGTTGATGGGAAATGGTGGAAGGTTCGAGAGCGTGGACAGGAGAGAAAGATTATATCAGACTAGAAGATGCATAGAAGTTTTTGGAAATGAGTCTGGGAGTGACTGCAACTGCCTGCAAAGCACTGTCCCTCAACAGTACTTCTCTGTTGCCTTCACAGCCACTTGGTCCTCTCTGTTCCTGTCTAATAACTCACAGATAAATGTGTTTCCTTTTCTCCATTTCACTGCTTCCTCTTCTTGGACTTTGCTGGTCCTTTCCAAATGATGCAGTCTCAGACACTCTGCCATTAATGTCCTGTCCATACTGTAATTAGAGTCGTCCTAATACACAGTTTCTGATCCCACATTGACTCCATTAAAAAAAAATTGGTGGCTCTCCATTGTTCACAGAATAAAATCTGAACTTCCTAAAGTGGATCTTCTAAGCCCTTCACAACAGGTACTTAACAAATGTTCAGGTCTCTTTACAACCTGTTCTCTGGGCTCCTGTTCCAATCATACTGCCCATTTTTCTCTCCTTCCTACCTCATGCTTCAGCCATTCAGGCAGATTCGTTCTTCACGTTCCCTGGTCCCTTGAAGTCACCCGTGACCACATCTCCCTTAGTGCCAGATGCTTCCACTACCTGTATCACATGGGGCCAGTGAGTTGTTTTCACTGTCTGTCCCTAATGAGCTCCCTGAAAGCAGGTACCACATCTCACTCATCTTTGAATATCCAGCCCCAGCAACTGCCTGGCTCTGTTCTTACGAAAGCAGAGGACTAACCTTTGCTAATTGTCTCTGCCAGGTCCTCGGTGAGGCATTTGGTTGAAGACACCACAGTCGAGCACTTGAGAGCAGAGTCTTTGCAACATGACAGACCTAGATTCATGCCCCTGCTCTTCCACTGTCTGTTTATGGATCTCCATGACAAAAAAAAAAAAAAGACCCTCTCTAACCTTCATTTTCCTTATCTGTAAAATGGGAATATAAAAAACCCTGACTTCACATAGCTACCTGGAGGATGAAACAAGATAATTCTTGCATGTAAGGGGCTTAGTACACTCCTGGGGCACCTACTGAGTGCTTAGTAAGTGATCCACTGAATGTCTTGTGGGTCATCTATAAGGTAGAAGGACCGAAGGAGAGAGGGAGTGAAGAAGGAAAGGTGACTTGAGATTAGAAACCCATATAGTTCAGAGAAAAGTGTGTTAGTAATGAAAATAGAAAGGGGATTAGAGATGAAAGCATTTTTGGAAGGGAGAAGGTAATTGATTCACTTTGGGCCGTGTTGAGGTTAAGGTGATGAGATATTAAGGGCCATTATTCAGATATTGAGGGTGTGTTATAGGCTATGGAGGGGGTGTTGTCGGGACATCAGGGGTGGAGTTTAGGAAAGTTGTGGGAGGTGAAGGCTAGATCTCAGGAGAGACATTAAAGTTAACACTATATAGGTTTTGAGAATGTTGTAGATACAGCTTAGAAATAAATTCCCAGAGAAAATTCAAGGAAGGTGCAGAGTGGGAGGGCAGACCCTGGGAAGTGCCTCCATAGTCAGGGTCAGATGAGGAGGAAGCTAACACCAAGGAGGAAGAAGAGGAGCAAAGAGGTCTTAAATCTCATTTTCCCTTAGTAGTTTTGAAGTCAGCCTGCAATGTGAATCTGAGGTCAGCACCTTAAATGAAGAGTCACAGTGTCGAACGAACAGCTTGTCCCTCTGAAGGGAGAGTGTTAACGTTCTGTGGGTTCCAGTGTCTTCTGAATCACTGGGGCCACTGTGCAGTGCCCTGCATGCAAAGCCCTGTAATGGAGCATGCACTGTCCCCTTGACCCACATCACTTCTGAGTAATGGGACAGCAATGACTGCTAAGGAGAGGCTGCATTTCCGACAGAGGTTTTCATCTGCTCCATTGGCAGGTTCTGGACTGAGGGGCCCTTCAGAGCAGTGACTCAGCTGGTGGAGTAGGGAAAATTCTCCCCACACTGAAGCTACCGGAGTGGGACTTGGTATACCTTACATGGCCATCAAACATTATTTTGAAAAATGTCACTTTAAGATAGTGAGAGACTGATCCTTTGGTGAAGGGAATTTGTGTTTATTCATTCTTTCGACAAATATTACTGAACACCTGTTATGTGCCTGGCATTCTTCTAGCACTGGAGATAAAGCAGTGAATGAAGCAGATAAATCCTCTGCCCGCATGGAGCTTACATTCCTGAGAGGTAGATCAAGTAAGCAAAATAAGTAGTATGTTAGATGCTAGTAAGTGCCATGGAGAAAAATTACGCAGGGAAGGCTAGGGAGTATCAAGGAAATAATGGTCATGATTTTATTTTATTTTTTAAAGTTTATTTATTTTGGGAGAGAAAGAGCTCATGCAAGTGGGGGAGGGGCAGGAAGAGAGGGAGAGGGGGAGAGAGAGAGAAAATCCTAAGCAGGCTCCATGCTGCCAGCACAGAGCCTGATGCACCTCTTGATCTCATGAACTTCATGATCACCACCTGAGCTGAAACCAAGAGTTTCAGCTGAGCCACCCAGGAGGCTTTAATGGTCATGATTTTAAATGTTTGGGGGGTTAAGAAGAGGATCAGTGAGTGACTACCTGAGGCTACCTAGGGAACAAGGTTCCAGGCAGAAGGGGTAAGGGTTTGAGACCCCACGAGGATGTCACTGATGGAAGAGAGTAGCAGCCAGGAGGTCAGGGTGCAGGTGAGGGGTCACAATTACTAGAGCCCCAAGGGCTGCACCCTGAGTGGAATGAGAGCCACAGGAATGTCGGGAAGGACACTGACATGGACTGAGTGCTCCCCAGTGGCTGGGCCCTGGGCTAGACCCTCCCCTGCACACACACACACACACACACACACACACACACGCCTCCATGCATATGTGTTAACTTAGAACTGACAAACTGTGTATTTCAGAGAGGTGACTTTTCATAAAAATGTCTAACCTCCCCAAGGCTCAGTTTCCTCACCTGCAAATTGAGAGTAAGAATAACACTTGGGCAAAGAGCCTATCTCAGTGCCTACTACATAGCAGAAGCTCAGAACATGTCCCCCCTTCCTTACCCTTTCTCTGTCGAAGTTCTTGCAAATTAAATAACCATTCATGCCTCTTCTGTACATAACTTTGTAGTTTTAGATCACTATGCCAATTATTACATTGGATTTGAGTGATTTCAGCTGACCTAACTTTACTATCTCTTTGACCATTAAAGGAATTTACTAATGTACATAAAATAAATCGTTTCTCTTTCCATTTAAATAGAGGCGAAAGGATTTTATATGCTGCACCAAGAAGGAACATACATATACACCAAAACAATAGAGCCAAGTAAAAGCAGAACACATGTAAATATTAGCTCGTGCTAATGAAATATTTATTTAGAGTATCATGTTCTGATACACTATACAGTTTTCTTCATCAGGATAGAATAGCATAGCCAAAAGAGGCACATTGTTATTTTTCATAGAAACTCTTAAGCTTCAAAAAATGTTAGTGGCATAAAATTCACGTATAAATACCAAATTACTAAGAGTAGTAGCAATTAAATGTCTGATACCAACAGAAGCACATTATCTAATGAGCTGTTTTCAGAAGTTAATAATGTGATTAATTGCCGATTGATAAAAACTATGGAAAAGAAGTATTTTTTATACTAATAGAAATTCAGATCCTTGTGCTGCATGATGAGAGGCAGATCTTGGCTAATAAGGTACCAGCTGAAGTCAGAGAAGGTGGTTGAAGTCAGAGAGAAAGACCAGCTGACTCACCATGTGGCATTTACCAGTGGAGTCTCTAAATTATTCCAGAGCCTTGTCCTCAGCTTTGTGAGTCCAGTAGCCCTCAGAGTTCATCAGGATCAGGAGGACCAACTTATGCTATCCTGACTTATAAGGGATTGATATATAAACCAGATTGGTGGTATATTAGTTTAAAATATAGACTAGAACTACCAAAGAGTTGGGACTTCTCCTTTAACTGGCCATTACTCTTTGCCATTGAAAACTTATATGAGGAGCCAAGTTGCAAGAGGGAAAATGGTAGTTCATTTGTACATTCATTCAGCTTTTAATTGAGCACCTACTATGTACAAAGCCATGTTCTAGGTCCTGGGAGTGTAGCAGTGAACAAGAAACAAAAAGTCTTCCGCCCTCTTGGAGTGTACATTTTCATGGAGGAGCAGAGACAGATAATGAACAAAGACATATGTATCATGTCAGATGGTAATGTGTGCTTTAGATCCTTACCATTCCATGTGTGGTGGGGGCCCTGCAGCATAAGCCCCACCCGGGAGCTTGTTAGAGAGGCAGAATCTCAGGCCTCACCCCAATTCACAGAATCAGAATCGTACATTTGAACAAGATTTCCAGGTGATTAGCATGCACATTAAAGCTTGAAAGGCAATGCTTTAGAGAAAAATTAAGTAGGATGAGGGAGATGGAGAAAGCCAGGGTCAGGGATTGCTATCTGATAGAGAATAGATATAGTGACACTTGTTTAGAGCCCTGAGAGAAGTGAGAGAGGGAGCCATGGATGTCTAGGTGAAGAGCATTCTAGGTGGAAGAATAAGCTGGTGCCAAGGTCCTGAGAGAGGAGCATGTCCAGCAGGTTTCAGGAACAATCAGAGGCTGGTAGGCTGGAGGAAAGTGAGTTAAGGGAAGAGCAGTGGGCTGTAAGGCCAGAGAAGTAACCAGGGTGGTTGAAGAAGAAGATCACTTAGAGTCTTCTAGAAATTATAAGGATGCTGGCCCTTCCTCTGAGAGGAGTGGAAGCCTCTGGAAGCTTTTGAGCAGAGGAGTGCTCTGTGATCTGAATTTCTAAAGGATCACGTCAGCTGTCGTGTTGCAAATAGTCTATAGAGGACAAAGGACAAGGTAGAAAACCATTGCAGTGATTCACATGAGAGATGTTGGTAGGTTGGACCACAGTGGGTGCAGCAATAGAAGGAAGTGAACAGATTGTGGATTTATTAGGAAGATGGAGATGACAGGGTTTGCCAATGAATCAGAAGTTGGGTAAGAATAAAAGGGAAGGGTTGACATTGGTGGCAAGTTTCTTGGCCCAAGCAACTGGAAGGAGGGAGTTGCAATTTATTGGGTTGGAGACTATCACAAGAAGAACAGGTTTGGGGCGGGGGGAATTGAGAGTTGGGTTCTGAACATGATAACTTTGAGATGTCTCTTAAGTACCCAATTGGAGGTGTGAGTGGCAGTTGGATGTAGGAATCTAGAGTCCGGGGTAGTGGTCTTGGTTGGAGATCTACACATGAACACAGATGGTATTTAGAGCCATGTGTCTATGAGATCATCTAGGGTATAGGAGAACAGAGAACTTGTGTGGGATTAATGGACAGTATCACTAAACTGAAATGGCCATTTGCACCCCTCTTGTTCACCACGATAGAGCTGTCCCAGCTGGATTACCTGTGTCTGCCCGTTGGGGCACATTCCTCTGCATTGACAAGTTCTTGCCTGCCCTTTGGCTCTCTTTTCCAGATTTCCTATAGACCCACTCCCTTACAGTAATTATTTTTCTAGACAATTATTCTGGTTACTGTTTTCTTCACTCTAGTTCTAAGAACATATTGATCTCTTTGATTGGACAGAAGTGTCTTTCAGGCATCCCTGCCAGTGAGCATAGGGGAGACTCATCCATTTCATGTCAAGGGCTTTTTCTTTTTTCTTACATCTTCCTAACCCAACATATCAAAAAGTTGAAAGGACTGCATGGTGAATGCCCATGTCCCCACCACCTAGATTCCACAACTAGCATTTTACTATGCTTTTATTATCACATATTTATCTCCTGTCCTTCAATCCGTCTTGTTTTTTCTTGATTCATTTCAAAGTAAGTTGCAAACATCAGCAGACTTTAACCCTAAACATTTCAGCATGCATATCGTTGCCTAGAAATCAATACTTATTTATGATGTTTTAGGTAAAATTTACACAGAATAAAATGTACAGATCATAAGTTTACCATTTGATGAGTTTTGACAAATGTATACACCTGCATGACCCTAACCCTATCCTGATATAGAGCATGACCATCACCCTGTTGCCCTTTACAGGTTAATTAATTCCAACCTCACTCCCACAGAGGAACCTGCTGTTCTAATAACACATTCTTCCTGCTGACAATAGCTTTGGTTACTTTTTACTCTGGCTTTGAAAGCAGCCTGATCCTTATGTTTAGACCAAGGCATTTCCAAAATTCCCCAGCCAGCCCTTGGGAGGTTGGATCCATCCCCTCAGCTACATTTATTCATTACTCACTTAAGAGTGTGGCTTCACTACAATATTTAGTCTATCTGTGGCCTTTGCCTCTCTCCTCTAATCCAACTCTGAGCCTCAGATTTCTTCTCTCTTCTCTTTGGATTCATGGACATGTTTCCTCTTTCTCTTAATAATAATGAAGGCTAGCATTTATTGAGCACCTAGTAGGGGCCACACCAAAGCCCCACATATACCCCGTCTCTCTGGTGCCTTACAAAATGATAGTCCCATTTTATATACGAGGAAATCAAGACTCAGAGATCTGGAATAACTTGCCCAGGGCAAGGGCCTTTCTGATCCCAAACCCTCTTCACCATCTCATGACTTGGGGACCAGGAGTGTGGGGGCTGCTGTCCCCCTCAGAGTGCCCCTTGTCACGTGCCTCCCTCTGCTCTTCCCACAGCCGTGGTGAAGAATCCGCCCAACAACCTGTGGATCATTGCAGCAGTGCTGGCACCCATTGCCGTGGTCACAGTCATCATCATCATCATCACTGCTGTGCTCTGCCGGAAGAACAAGAGCGACTTCAAGCCAGACACCATGATGAACCTGCCGCAGAGAGCAAAGGTGCGGAAAGTGGGGAGGAGGGGCTCTGCCCACCTTTTCTCTTGGGGCTTTTGAGGCCTTTGCAAGTACCTTCAGAAACATGCTAACAAGCCCTCATCCTGAAGGAGGTCCTTTATTTATTCAGATTTTTAAAAAATTATAGCAAATAATACATAACATATAATCTACCATCGTAACCATTGTTCAGTGTACAATTCAGTGTTTTTCAGTATACTCCCATCATTGTGCACCCTTTATGTTTGTCATCAGGGCATAATAGCTAATGCTATCTAATAATGCTCGCCCTTAGCTGTAAGTACTTCTAAAGGCTTTACATACAGCAGCTCAAGCCTCACAGCAATGCTTTAAGAAAGGGCCATTGTTTTGCAGGTGAGGAAACTGAGGCACAGAAAATTAGGAGCTAGATAGACCTGAAAGGGGCAGTGGAGGTTATCTCATCTGACATCCTCCTTTTTCAGAGAAGTAGCTCTAAGATCACAAGTTAGTAAGTAGCAAAACTGATGGTCAAACCAGGTCTTTTGGCTCCTAATGCAGGGCTCTTCTGGGCACATTAGACTCTCAGAATTTTCCTTCTTCCATTGACTGGAGTGACTTGTCTTTGAAGGCTGCCGTGATGGGCAAGCTGCAGAGTGTTGCCCAGGTGGTCATTACACGTGGGTTCGGTGACTCAACTGGAGCCTGCCTGGGAGCACATCCACCCTGCACAGCCTCCACACCTCTGGTGACGGGGAGGGGAGTGGACTAAGGAAACTCCCAGTGCTAATTGTCCAGTTACATAGCCCCTTTCATGATATCCCCTCAAGGGAAAAACAGTGATCTGTAATACCTGATATTTAATTCCTTACAATTGGCTGAGCTCTTCTGGGTCTGTCACCTTGTCTGCTCATCACAGCAGCCCTAGAAGGTAGGTCACAGTCAGGGCAGGTTTTATTATTTTCACATTACTGTTGAGAAGCCCAGAGGAAAGAGAGGCCGTGGGGCTTTGTCCAAAGTCACATAACTAGCAGCTAGAAGGGTGACTCAAGCCCATACCTGTGTCTTTGGGCTCTTTCCACATTCTCCACGTTCCTGAGCCCTGAGATTTGGCAGGTAGACTCCTGCTCCATCAGTGACCTTCTGAGCCCTGTTCACCTGTGCAGGAATGGAGCAGAAAAAGGAATTTCAGTCCGCTGGAATACATATCACGGAGATGGTCTTTGCCAGCGGTCAGGCATGCCTAGTTCTTTCCGGATGACCACACCTCACTTCAGCGAAAGAAATCAATTGAATTTTATTGTTTGTTACACGAATTCACCTGTTGCAAGGCTGCAGTTTGATTAGATGCTCGGCTTACCAAAGAGGCAAACTCCAAGGAAGGTTGTTCTGTTGACAATAGGGCCCCCGCTTTCCAGAAGCAGCACGGTGTCGGGAATTGCCCAAGTGGTGACAGATACAACTGTTCCAAGAAGGGGTCTTTCATTGCCACCTTAGTTTAGTTACAATCTGATCCTTTCAGACATAACAGTAATTACCAGACTCTAACTGCAGCCGAGTCCAGGAATGCTAAATATGCCATACCGAGGGTGTAAATGCCAACTCTGTGTTACAGATTAAGCCAAAGTTTTATTAACTTGCCAAGGTGAGTTGGGCAGCACACCGATTTAGTGTACCTTCCAGCTTGAAAGCTGTTTGGAGCTGGAAGAGATTCATGTTTGTGGGTTTTCATAGCCCCTTTTATGTTCCTACCTGGTGAAATTGTGCTTGAAGAGATACGTGGCCGATGTTGAGAATCAAGCCAATTTATGTTCCAAGAGAAGGCTGAAATCACTTGTGTGTGGTGGCGCTGGTGGTTTTCTCCCTCAATGAGGCTGGGCTCCGCACTGTGATTTGCAAAGCTCCTTTATCACAGGAAGCCAGCAGGGTGGAACTGCCTCTTTCTTACTGCAGTCCTTCTGCCTCGCAACCCAGGGACACTGCAGTGCTGGAGAAGGGAGAGCCACCCGCGTCACATCTCACAACCTGTGTGTGTGAGCAGAATTCATTTAATGCCAAGGGAAGAGGCAGAATGAAAAAGTTAGCCTTCGTGACCAATCCGTAGCGCAGGAGGATGGTCTCCTGGTCTCCAGGGACATCACCACGTCGTTAGAATGCAGGCTGCAGTCCAGAGGACATTCCCCGGGATCCCTGCTGGGACTCAGTAATAGACTTGACAGGCTCAGAGGAGCTGAGGGCGGCTGTCCTGGGAGTCGAGGCCAGGGCGTGCATGGCCGTTACCCTAATTCAGAGACCGGGTACCAAAGGCATGACCCTGTTACCATGGCTGTCAGCTGGGCTTGTGTAGGTAGTGTTGAGAAAATGATAATGCAGCAGGGCCCGCTGTCCGGGCTCTCGTGACCTCCTTTCTTCCTGGTTCATTTCTCTTTACTCTTTGTCATTGGATTCACAGCCTTTGCCCAGTGTTTCCCTTCATATAATTGATGAGAACATGGCTCCCTGGAACAGGCAGTCTTACGGGACAGTAGGTAGGGCCACATCCAGATGCAGGATGGAGCATGGAGGGCCCACAATGGTTGGCATGACCATCTGCTCGGGACAGGTCAGTCACCCCTAACGATGCCCAGCTGTTTCCTCTTTTTCACATACTATCTGTGTGACCTGTACTTAACCTCTTTGTGCCTCAGTTTTCCCATCTGTGAAATGGGGATGATAACAGTGTTTCCTTATAGGTTGTTGTGAGGATTGAGTTTTCTAAGTTACTTGGAGCTGTGCCTGGCACATAAATATTACATACAAGTTGGCCTTTATTATTATAAAAGCCCTTTTTTCTTAAAAGGTCTGGATAACATGTCTACCTTTGAGATTGTTGGGGATTATTTTCATTTGATAATTTTACAAAATGTGTTGAAGCAGCTATAGATACTTCATTATGTCTTAATAGTATCAGGGGTCACTAGTGTGTGTCCAATGGCAATTAATTAATTTCATGATTTTCAAACTGAAGATTGAAAGACTACTACCTTGGTCAGAAGAGTGAGGGACTAGTCTTGAGTCTTTCACCACTGAGATGTGTGACCTTAGGCAAGTCACTGAACCTCTCTGACCTTTGTGTTTTTGCCTGTAAAATGAAGACTGTGATGTTTGACCTGCTTCCCTCATAGGGAGTTTGTGAGCACCAAATGAGGTGTCAGTGTTTTGAAGGCTGTAAGTACTGAGCATATGTGAGAATTGTTATTATTAACCTAATACCAGTGTCCACCCTGGAAGCTTGTCCGTCTTTAATGTCTCTGTTTCTGCTCACTCATCATCAACCCAGCCCCCTGAAGTATCTAGCAGATAACTTCAACACAGTGTGAAGGGTGAGGGGCTAAATCCAGGGAGAGTGGGGGCAGGAGGGAGAGGACCAGAGCCAGCTTGTTGCCCTCATTAGGTTCCTGGGAAGTCTTCGCCGCCATCAGAGACTCAGTTCCTCACAGACTAGCCAGCCCTGGACAGTAGCAGATGCCCAACCAAGATGGTAGGCTGCAGAAGGAGGGGAGATTCTGTGGGAAGAACCATCAGGCAGCACTCAGATGTCCTGGCTCCACATCAGGAGGAACTGGGTGCAAATCCCAACCCCACCACACACCCGCTGTGTGAGCCTGAGGAAGCTGCTTAACCTCTCCAACCCTCGGTTTCTTTTCTTTATCTTTAAAACGGAGAGTCATCATAATAATAGCAACCTCCTTGAACTGCAGTGCGGATGAAATGTTGTAACTGATGTTATGCATTCAGCACTGTACCAGTCATACCAATTGAGGCCAAAACTGTGAGCCCCTTGAGGGCAGGGACCAGCTATTATTCATCTTCGCATCTCCAGCACCAGACACAGTCTGAGGCGCAAGCCAGTGCTTTGTAACTATAGTTGGCACTACATTGAATAGGATAATGGGGGCAAAGGAGTGTTATGGAAGAGGTACCAACAGGAGGTGTGGCTGAGCACGTGGGTCCAGCCACACTGCAAAGGGCCTTAAATGCCTTGCTGGAGAGTTTGAGTATCAAACTCTTTCTAAAATTTTTTTCTAAATGTTCATTTATTTTTGAAAGACAGAGAGATAGAGTGTGAGCAGGGGAGGGGCAGAGAGAGAGGAAGACATAAAATCTGATGCAGGCTCTGAGCCATCAGCACAGAGCCCAATGCAGGGCTCAAACCCACGAACTGCAAGATCATGACCTGAGCAGAAGTCAGTTGCTTAACCAACTGAGCCACCCAGGTGCCCCTGAAACATTTTTTCTTTTTAAGTAGGCTTCGCACCTAGCATAGAGCCCAACACAGGCCTTGAACTCAACACCCTGAGATCAAGACCTGGGCTGAGATCAAGAGTCAGATGCTTAACTGACTGGGCCACTCAGGTGCCCCCCGCCCCCATGAGAGACTTTTATGGCAGAGGACATGACTTGATGTGGTTTTCAGAGAGATAACTTGAGAAGCTGGTCAAGGGTGAGCCTAGAAAGGATCTGAATAGAAGCAACAAGACCAAGCCAGGAGACAATGAAACCGTGGACCTGGAGAGAGAAGCTCAGCTCCTAGAAACACTGGCTGGAGGAGCAGGCAATTCCTTAGTCTAGGAATGTGACCAGGCTGTTCAAAGGCTCTGTTCTGTTTCATGTGCCACCATAGGAGGGAGGGAAATGAGCGGACAAACACTGATCCCGAAGCACGTTCCCAGATCCCGGCACAGAATGTCTGTGGTCACCGTTTGGGTCAGAGTGTGTGTCTCAGTAAAGAGGGAGGGCTAAGCACAATTTCCAGAGTGAGTTTCCCTGGGAATTGGGGGAACTGGCCATTGCAGAACTACAGACAGCCCAAATAAGGCTTCCAAATAAGGAAGCTTTGCTGGATTTAGCACTAAAACTCCATCCTGTCCTGAGATACAGTAGTAAGATTTGATGGGCTGGGCCACAGTCCTAGGCCGTTCCATCTAGCCAGAGCCTCTCTGTTACATTTCTTAGCTAAATTTACTGCTGAAGGAGGGAATGTCAAGTTCTGGTGGAGGTGAAGCTTCTTCCCCAAATTTTCTTTTCTTTCCTCTTCTTTTTTAAGTAGGCTCCATGCCCAACATGGAGCCCAAATGGAGCTTGAACTCATGAGTCTGATATTAAGACCTGAGCTGAGATTGTGGGACACTTAACAGATCAAGTCACCCAGGCACCCTTCATCCCCAAATTTTCTTGAAAAGAATCACTGATTTCTGTTTCACTGAGTCATGACTTAATAGGAAGGCAAATAATATTAACTAATACCGATTGAGCATTTACAGCGTGCCAGGTACTTCACTAAATGCTGAACATGCATTTACCTACTTAATCCATGCAGCATCTCTTTGAGATGCTTCCACTTATTTACACATTTGATCCTATTTGTCCTACACATTCGATCTCCATTTTATAAGTGATGAAACTAATGTGCCGAGAATTTCAGTATCTTCCCCGAGGTCACCCGGCTTAAATGTGGGAGAACCGGGATTGGAACCCAGACAGTCTGCTTTTTGGAACCCAGGAGACTGACCCCAGAGTCCTGCCTTAAATCTGTGTTATGATGCTCTGGGGCGTAAAGCAGAATAGAGACACTCCCAGGAATTATTTAAATACGCCTCTTGGTTTTTCATTGCCCCACTAATAGACATCTACTGGGCTTTGTTCATAGCTGTCCTATTCACTTGGGATTTCAGACATTGTGGAATAAAAACCTTGCTAATTACCCAGTAATGAATCATAGGAGAGTCATAGGTCTGGATTTGAGTGATTCCATAAATTACATTTTATTATTAAAGTTGTACTGCTTCACATGTGGAAGCACATTTCTTTCCCTCTGTTTTCAGAGCTGTGACTCTGCTTTCATACTCGTGGGTGGCTTAGGTAAAGCCGATCTGATTATCATCATTTCTCAGATGAAAAAAAATAGCGTTCAGAATTCCAGGGGCTTGGCAAAGCCCCAGACCCCTTACTATGCATAAAGCCATGTGAAAGTGGGGCTCAGGTATGACAAGATGTTCCTAGGCAAGAAATGATACAGGACCTATTTCATATATTAATTAAGAGTCTCTAATTAGCAGTATCCGGTGACATAAAATTGGTGGTTTAAAATTCCTGAAAGAAGTTTGTCCTCACACACATACTTGCATCTAGTTTACAGTATTCATTTTTCCAAGGAAGTCTTCTCTCTAGAGATTCTATAGCTACGCAGAATTAGCACAGATTCTGATTTTGCAGATAGAAATTATGAGGGAGATTTGAGTTAACTCTTGTTCATCAGAAAGCTAAGTATGGTCCTGTCACATGGAGTCTCCTGCTCATCTTCACTTAAAGCTGTCATTAGAGTCACACTTTGCCAGAAATGTGACCACAAATCTGTTTCCTCTTTGCAGCCTGTGCAAGGCTTTGATTATGCCAAGCAGCACCTGGGCCAGCAAGGGGCGGATGAGGAGGTGGTCCCTGTGACTCAGGAAACGGTGGTCTTACCGCTCCCTGTTAGAGATGCTCCTGCCTCTCAGGAAAGAGACATTGCCCAGGACGGAAGCACCATCAAGACGGCCAAGTCCACTGAAACCAGAAAGAGGTAGGCACGGGGCCAACTTCTGCCTCTCTCAGCAAGGGAATCATTGATGCTGAGAGCAGTGGAAGCCTCAAGTTAGTACCACTTTTCTCTTTGAAGATTCCTCCCTTTAGGGGTGCCCAGGTGGCTCAGTTGGTTGAGCATCCGACTTTGGCTCGAGTCATGATCTTGCTGTTTGTGAGTTCAAGCCCCACACTGGGCTGGCTGCTGTGAGAGCAGAGCCCGCTTTGGATCCTCTGGCCCCCTCTCTCTCTGCTGCTTCCCCACTTGTACTCTCTCAAAAAATAAAATCAACATTTAAAAATGAATGAATGAATGAGTGAATGAATGAATGAATGAATTCTCCCTTCAGGGTTGCCTGGGTGGCTCAGTTGGTCAAGCATCCAACTCTTTATCTCGGCTCAGGTCATGATCCCATGGTTTGTGGGTTTGAGCCCCACATCAGGCTCCATACTGACAGTGTGGAGCCTGCTTAGGATTCTCTCTCTCTCTCTCTCTCTCTCTCTCTCTCTTTCTCCCCCACCCCAGCTCATGCTCACTCTCTCTCCAAATAAATAAATAAACTTTAAAAAATCCCCTTGGGGTACCTGGACAGCTCAGTAGGTCATGATCTCGCTGTTCATGAGTTTGAGCCCCACATCAGGCTCTATACCAACAGCTTAGAGCCTGGAGCATGCTTCGGATTCTGTGCCCCCCTCTCTCTCTGCCCTGTCCCTGTTCACCTCTGTCTCTCTCTCTCTCTCTGTCTCAAAAATAAATAAACATTAAAAAACAAAAACAAAATTTCCCTTCACGCTAAAGTAGGTGACAGGAATCACAATACTTGCTTCTCATTGAGCCGTCCTTTGTAAGGTTTTACATCACTGATGAGCCATGACAGCAGAGATTTTGCTTTCATATTTATTACAACAGATGTGGCACTGGCATCACACTTAGTTTTTTTTTTTTCAACTGATCTTAAAAGCAGTGCCTTTGATTCAGTAGAGTTGTATTTTATCTGGCAGTTTTTTAGTCGTTTATGGTTTTAGTTCAAAAACTGTTTTTAGGAGTTTTTTTTATCATGAACAGAGCACTTTGACAGGCATAAGAAGGCCTACAGAAAGGTTTATGATTGGTTCCTGACCCCAAGGATCTCATGATTGAGAGACCGAGGGATAAATACCTGGAAACCAAGCATGATGTGCAGGTGCTCATGGAAGAGTCTGAATGAAGTGCTATGGAAAAGAAAGGATGAACTTAAATCTGGTGAGGGAAAGGATGGTGGAGGAGCTTATGTTTTAGCTGGACCTCAGAGGGTCAGTGGAGTGTCAGTAGTTGTGGAGAGGTCATTCACTTAATGGTGAATATGCCTAGGGTTTAGAGTTCACAATGGTTGGGATTCAGTGAAGGATGAAATCAGACGATAGGTGAAAATTGTAGAGGGTCTTTACTGCCAGGCTATGGAGTTTGACCTTTATTCTCTGGGCAGTGGGGAGCCACTGAAAGTTCTTCAGGAAGACAGTGATGTCCAGCCTGAATTTTAGAAAGACTGCTCCAGTGGCAGTGTGGATGATAGATGGGAGAAGTTAGGCTAGAGGCCAGGAGATTTGTTGTAAGGACTTTACAATAATATTATAAAGAGGTAATGAACTCTATGGCAAGGGGTGTTGGCTGGACAAACCAACTCCCATTGCCAAGTCCCTTCTCTGTTGCCTGAGACCACAATGGAGGCTAGAAAAGCTACATCATCCCTGCCTTCTTTCTTCTCTCCCTCGCTTCACCTAAGAGATATTAACTGACTGGTGTTTTCCAGGCACTGGGGAGACTGCAGCGAACAAGACAAAGCTCCTACTCTCGTGTGCTTACAATCCAGTGGGGAGAGATACACAAAAAACAGAGAAATAGATACATAGTAAGTTGGGTGGTGATGCATATGAAGAAGAAAACCAAAGGATGGTAAGAAGATAGAGCAATGGAAAGGGAGACGTGATGCTATTTTACCGAGGAAGTCAGGGAAGGCCTTTCTGATAAAAGTGGCACTTGAGAAAGACCTGAATGAAATGATGTGTAAGCCTCAAAGCTATCTTGCAGAAGAATGTTCTGAGCAGATGGAACAGTATGTGCAAAGCCCAGAGGAGGGAATTTCTTAACATACTTAGAGAAGAGCAAGAAGGGCAAAGAGACCAATGTGAACTCAGGAGGAAATGGTGGTAGATGGATCAGAGAAGTTGTCTGAATTTGATCATATTAGGCTTTTATTGACCAAAGTCGGGACTTGGAATTTTATTGTGAGTAAAGATCAGAAGTCATTGGAGGGTTTTTAAAACAGTGACATGATGTGACTTGCAGTTTTAAAGGATCACTCTGGCTGCTGTATGGAAAACAGACTGTATAGAAGTGGAGTGGAAGAAGAGAGATAGTTAGGAGGCTATTACAGTTGTCTAGGTGATGTACATGGGGGTGTGGGTCAAGGCATGGTGGTGTGAGAAGTGATAGGATTCTATACATGTTTTGAAGGGAGAGCTATAGTAACCCTTGTTTTGCTGGGTTGTTGGGAGGAGTGGAAATAGGGTGAATTTGCCATTGGTTGTATTGGAGAGGACTAGAAGAGAAGAAATTTGTAGGGGATGATCATGAGCTTGGAGGTCGGCATGTTAAGTTTGAAATGTCACTTAGACATTTAAGTGAAAGTGTTTGGAACTCAGCTAACTATGGGAGTCTGGGATTCAGAGGAGAGGTCCAGAGTAGAAATATAAATGGAGGAGTTGTCCGTATTTAGTTATTTAAAGCTGTGACACTGGATGGGGTCCCTGGGAGAGTATAGATAGAGAAGAGACCCCCAACCTGACCCCTGGAACATTGCAATGATTAGAGGTCTAGATGATGAAGAGGAATCAGCACAGGAGACCAAAAAGCATCAGGAAAAAAGTGCTGAGGAGGACAAAGCAAGAATGGAATCCAGGAAGCCAAGAGAAGGGAGAAGTTTGAAGGGGAAAGAAGGATTGTCTTTGTCAGATACACAAATTTTACACAGAGTCATGCCACAAGTCTGTGTTTTTCCTCCAGGAGCTCTTTGTACCTCAGAGGTACAGAGAAACAGAAGGTTGAGTTTCAGCCTGGGTAGGAAAGAAGGTTGAGGGGATGTGGGTGAGTTATCTATTGCTCCACAATAAACTACTCAAAAGCTTATCAGCCTGAAATAGCAGCCATTTATTTAGCTCATGATTTTTGGTGGGTCAGAAGTTTGGTCTTAGCTCAAGTAGGTGGTGGTTCTGGGCTGAACTAAGCTTGGTTAATCTCAGCTGGGCTCACTCATGTGTCTATAGTCAGGTGGTAGGTTGGCCAGGCTGGCTTGTTGATGATAACAACCTGGGGTGGCCAGGTAACTGGGGCCCCTTGCTACATGGCCTCTCATCCTCCAGCAGGCCAGCTCCTGCTTTCTCACAGGGTTGTTGCAGAGTTCTATGTATGGCAAGAAAACAAGCCCCCAAGGGCAAGCACTTCTCAAATCAGTCAAGTTTGCTAACAAGACACATGATCTAGTCCAGAGACAGCATGGGAGGAGGCTACCAAAGCTTGGTTACAGGGAGGTGGGAGTAAATTGGGATCAGACCTGCAACAGTCTGCCCCAGCATGAGGAGTTGAAACATACAGAAGCGATAGATTATTTATCTGAGTTGACTGGCAAGTAGAATTACCTACAGTAATTATTCTCATTATGATCTTTGCCAAATACAATAAAGGCATGCTAAAAACTTACTTGTCGGGGCACCTGGGTGGCTCAGTCGGTTAAGCATCTGACTTCAGCTCAGGTCATGATCTCACAGTTCATGAGTTCGAGCCCCGCATCAGGCTCTGTGCTAACAGCTAGCTCAGAGCCTGGAGCCTGTTTCAGATTCTGTATCTCCCTCTCTCTCTGACCCTCCCCTGTTCATGCTGTCTCTCTCTCTCAGAAATAAATAAAACAAAAAAATTAAAAAAAAAAAAAACTTATTTATCACCTATTAGAGGACACTGAAAAGAGGTAAATAGAATTGCTAAAATTAGAATATTAACATAGCACTGCTGGGAAGAATAAAAATTATTTTCTACCCATTCTACTTGAATGATTTAAATCATGTAAAGATTTCTTTAAAAAAATATCTTTTTGGGGGGTGCCTTGGTGGCTCAGTTGGTTGAGTGTCCTATTCTCGGTTTTGGCTCAGGTCGTGATCTCATGATTTCATGAGTTCAAGCCCTGCACTGGGCTCTGTGCTGAGACTGCAGAGCCTGCTTGGAATTCTCTCTCTCTCCCTCTCTCTCTTCCCCTCCTCCACTCACACCGTCCCCAGAAGAGGGGGACTATTGAGCTCAGTAGCCTAAAATTATAGCCTCACAGGTGGCATTTTCTTGCTTTCAGAAACAGTTTTGTTACTGTCATATGAGTGGACACACACATGAATCTCACCTTACGCTTTTGACCAGAAGTTTGAGTTAATGGCTCCATGTAAACATAAGGCCACAAGTGGATGAAAGAATAAAGCAGAGTTGGAGTTTCTCTCCAGAAATGTGTTCATTCATACCTTTCCCTGGAGTGAGAGTAACAGCCAGAAAATTGTTTCAGGATCAAATGAAGGAAAGAATATGCAAATGCTATGCTGTTAAGTATTTCGTGAATGTAAAAATAGGTTACAAGAAGGCTTTCCCCTTCCTTCCTTTCTGGACCTCAGTGAAAGCCTTGTTATCCTAATAAAACCAGCTGGAAAAATAGGTGTCATTAACTGTGAGGTTCTGAAAATAATCCAAGGGCTTATGTCTTCTCTTTGTATGTATATTTATACAGCCAGCACTCAGTGATCAAGTAGCTGTTGAGTAAATAATATGTACTTAATAAATTATCTGGGGCGCCTGGCTGGCCCAGTCAGTGGAGCACGTGACTATTGATCTCAGGGTTGTAGGTCTAAGCCCCATGTTGGGGGTATAAATTACTTTAAAAAACAAAATCTTTAAAAAAAAATTAATGCCTTATCCATGGGGCACCTGGGTGGCTCAGTTGGATAAGCGTCCGACTTCAGCTCAGGTCATGATCTCACGGTTCGTGGGTTCAAGCCTCGCATCAAGCTCTGTGCTGACAGCTCAGAGACTGAAGCCTATCTTCGGATTCTGTATCTCCCTCTCTCTCTCTCTGACCCTCCCCTACTCACGCTGTTTCTTTCTCTCTCTCAAAAAAAAAATTAATTAATTAACTAATTAATTAATGCCTTATCCATATTTTCTCAAGCTGCATTCTTTGTATTTCTTTCTTATGGTGAAAGAGATTTGGTGCCAAATAAACTGGGAAATGCTGGATTCAATAACAGGAGATGATAGGACTCTATATGGTAGGACTGATGAAGCCCTTGATATGTTAATGTGCATCAGGACTATCCAAAGAAGAAATATTATAAACAACATTTCCCAAACTTACACTTACCTGTGGAACTTTGGCAAGGACGTCTCATTGGGCTCTGCTGTTGTATGGAACCCTCTGGGCAGATTTTGCATTACCCCATGGATGTGAGTGGGCGCTGTCATTGGTCATGGTTTTGGGGCGCTGAAGTACATTTAAGAGTACAGAACTGAGAATTCTAAATACCCATAGGACGAAGAGGGAGAGGGGAGGGGAAGGACACAGAGCATCTACAAAGGTACATAGCTTCTACTTAAGAAGCTACTTACTTACTGGTTGAGTACTGAGTGTTATTCCAGTCAATTTTCCATTGTAGGGGCCTTTAGGTTCTGAATCTGAACAATTGACAGAGAAGAATAAATAGTTTGTTGAGGCCTCTGGATATCTGCCTCCTAATTGTCTCCACAGAAGGGAAGGCAGTTGGACTTTATGATGATCCAAGACCTGAGGGAGCATGAATGCCAGCAGGGGCTCTGAGAGCCCCTTTCCCACAGAGTTCCGGAAGACCAGAATCACCCCCCCCAACCTCCCACCTAAGGGAAGGGGAGAAGGCCCTGTGGCTTTCCCTGTGTGAGGCCCGCCTCATCGGAGGGCATTGTAGGACTTTGTAGGGGCTCTGGTGTGGGAGGGAGAGCCCTTACCTACAGGGGGAGCCCTGGTTTCCAGGACTGATTTGCCACTTCCCAACTCGGCTCAGGATAAAACACCCCGCCTCCTTGACCATCACATTCCTCACTTGCTAAACAAGGGTGACAGTCACCGAACCAGTGGCTTGTCATAATGATCCACTAACAGTTTTGAAAGCGTCTGCATAGTCCTTGGCACCTACTTGGTGCTTCTGAGGGGGAGCCCTTGGAGAACACGGTGGTGTCCCAGTAGCTCTGTGTACCAGTATTCCTGGCACAATGCCCAGCACAGAGCTGGTGCACATGAAGTATTTCCTCAAGAAATGAGTAGTTTAAATTGGTAGTTTCAAATATAAGTGGTTACCAGTTAACACGGTGAAAGAACGTGTGAGTGTGCACACGGGCAGGTATGTGAGAGACAGAATAAAGACCTCAGTGAGGGAGTGACTTAGGCTTTAGTGGCCAAAGTATATTCTGTAAAGGGAATAGGCAGAGAGAACCGTGTGTAATGCACGTCCCTGCAGATGCCACGTGAATCAATGCTCTGCAAAGTGCTGTGTTTTAAAAGGAGGGCATACTTACAAACGCCATACCGCCGTTTCCATAGACACTGGGGGTTAATGGAACAGAGATGGGACCTGAGGGCTGCACTCACTGAACTTCTCTTCTGAGGTAAGCGCTTCACATAAATGATGCACTTCACAGCGAGCAGCTGCTTAACCCACGCGGCAGTGTGGGGCTTCTCGTGTTTTCTTTTCCTGTATCGGTTTTTTGCGGATAAAACCAGAACGAAAGGCGACAGACATAAACTGTGCAAATAAAATAACCTTGAGAGGAGGCTGCTGGAGTCAAAACTCACGGTCTCCCTGTTGCTATGGTTACTTCCAGCAGGTCGCCCAGTGAGAATGGCTCTGTCATCAGCAAGGAATCAGGGAAGCCCAGCTCAGGGAGGCGCTCGCCCCAGAATGTAATGGCACAGCAGAAAGTGACAAAGGAGGAAGCACGGAAGAGAAATGGTGAGAAGCTCTCCTTACCATCACCACCCCTGGGCCCCTCCCACACACACTTGCACACATGTGTGCTTTAGCCCTACTTTCTTCTCTCTGGTGTGCCCCAGAAAGGTCAGGAGAGTCTGCTACCTACCTCCTGGGGTATCGCCTCTCCCCCTTCTCTGGATTATTGTGTCTCACGCCCTCTGCTCCCTGTTCTCACAGAGTTGAACAGCACCTTAGAAAAGCTCTGTGCATCCTGAGCTGACATTTGCTTTGAGATGTCTCTAGTTCTTGGCTGAATTGACAGGATTCCCAGCCACAGGTCCACTTGGATGGCAGCTCTCTGACTCACTGCTGGTTTTGGAGATTACCCTCATGTTCTTGCCCTGACTCCCTTGATAAGTCTTCGGGGCTCAGTCTCTTACAGTAAATCCGGATGCCGCCAATCCACCTCTCCCGGGAAAAATAACACAGTAATAAATCTGTCATCATAAAAATCAGCCCATGCTTCTGCCTTTAGTCTCCAGGGAAACGTAACTGTTTGGTTTCTCTCTCACACAGATCTTTTCCCTCCCTATAAAGGATGGGTGTTGGGGTTTATTTAAAAGTCGTCGGAACTACCTTACTGTGTGGCTGCACTATCTATACATTGCGTCTGTCAGACATTCTTGTGTGTCCCCTCCTCCTGGTCCTACCTTTGTCCTGACCACCATCTCCACGCGCCCCTTCCATGTGTGATGCTGGCTGACTGGAGCCCAGGTTCAAGTACCTGGTGCTGCCACTCAGATTAGAAGAAATGGCTTTCAGGTTTCAATGGGTTGTTAGGTGGAATCCTACAGAAATGCCACATGAAAAGCCAGACAGCCTGGCATGCGGGTTAGCTGTGCTTCCCTTTTAAAGGAATTTGATGGAGTGTGGTTCAGGGACTCTCTCTTGGAGATAGTTCCAGAATATTCTTTTGGGTTTTTTTTTTCTGACCCAAAAAAGAAAGACGAGGAATAATGTTACACAATGGATTTGTCTTCTGCAAGGAAAATGTGATCTCCATTCCCATTTCCAGCCATTATATAAAGCACTGTTTTTAACTGTCATACTGATTTGATTCTTGAATTTCTTCTGCTACTGAATTCCCCATGGTCTGTAACATAGAGTCTGTGCTTTCTGCACCAGAATCAGGGTCTGGCATGTGGGGTTTTCTTGGAATATCTACCCTACCTGAGACCACCAGCAATCCTACCTACCACCTCTCTGCCAAGCCAGCTCACAGAAGGCTTCCCAGAAATATAGGAAGTCAAATCAAAGTCTGTCTTCCCACACATGTCCCATCACCCACCCAGGCCCTCAGATGACCTTGAATTACTCAGTATATGTCTTCCTCAGACATTCTTACTATGCATATGACAACACACACAATCTTTTTTGTTGTATTGCTTTGTTTTTTAATAAAACGAATCAATGTACATACTGTTCTGTGCCCTTTTGCTTGGTTAAAAATGTACAATGTACAGACTCCTCTGTCAGTAAATCACATTTACAAGATGATGCCCTTCTCTGTCCCTTGCACTTGATCCACAGAGGAGGAGGGAGCAGGGCCTGTTTCAGACCCTATCACTATGCACCCTGGCTGGGGAGACACTGACCTGCCCAAAATGTTCCTGCTGGCCTTCCGTTCTTGTTTTTCCACCTCTCTACCTGCCTTCTTATTGTTTAGGTCACTTTGATTGTTTAAATATCAATCTCAGAAATAACAAGAGCCGCTTGCATGAATGAAACCCAATTACTGTGCTATGTTAAGGTTTTAATATGTTTGTTCTATTAAAAAGCCATCCTTTCTCCGGGTTTATGATGCTTCATTGCATTTTATTTTTTTGCCAGAAGGAAACCCAGTGAGTTTTCAGGGTTGGCCGCTTCTCTTGTACCTCAGGTTCCCATTCAGGGAGGTTCTGCTTGAAATTTTCACATAGAAATGATGGGACCAATTTGTTTAAGGTGAAATCCAGTAGATGTGAAACCCATCAGAATTCTGAGTGGACCTTCCATAGCACCTACATTTATCCTTTTCTTAATCATAGGACTCTACATTCTCATATATCCGCTAGGTTAGAGTTCACCAAAATATCAGTAGTATATTTTATTGGATTGAAAGATAAGCTGAAGGGAGGGACGGAGGGAGGGAAGGAGGGAGGGAGGAAGGGAGGAAGGTAGGTAGGAAGGAAGGAAGGAAGGAAGGAAGGAAGGAATTCCTGATTTATGGAAGTTAAAACCAACAGTGAAAGTAAGACACAACTAGATTGGGGACAGTAGCATTTATGATGATGCTGATGTGATGGTGTCTAGGACACTTCCACAGGTTAGCTGTGGCCCTTTCCTTTAGCATTCTCCTACGTTTTTTTCCTTTAGGGACTAATTATGCATCAAATATTCCCACCAACTTCCTGTACTCCCACACTTTAATAAATCAATATTTAATGTAATATCTTTTTCTGTCAGTCTTTTGGCAGGGGGCAGGATAACTAATTATTTTTCTTGTAAACCTAGAGGGATTATTGTACACATCTGAATCTTATTTGAGAATAAGGATGGGCAAGAACTGTAGTTTGTACAACTTCCGCGGTACAGCTATGCTCTCTCTTTACTCTGCCCACACAGGGTAGGAGGTGAGAGTGTCACAACCCAGAATCAGTAAAACTGCTCTGTACCATCTCTTCACCCTTTGCATGGTTTAGTGATCACAGAACTTTTAACTTTACATGTTCACCTGTTTTGCAGGTACTGACAACTAACAACAATCTCCTTTTCTAAGTCAGGAAATTGTAGTCATTCCTTACTTCCTTCCTCCATTCAGAAAACCCTTATTAAAAGCCAACTACACATGAGACATCCTTAAAGGCAATAGGCATCTGCCTTTTAAAGGGTAGGCAAGAATGAAGTCTATATTTCAGGGGCAGAGATGGGGACAGGTTAAATCAACGCAAGTCAGCAGAGATAAGTGCTATGAAGAAAGTAAAACAACAAGCCGGTGAGCAGGTTATTTTAGATTCGTGGATAAGGAAGTTCTTTTTCAAGCTGCAGCTGAAAAATAAGAAGGAACTAGGCCTGTAAAGACCTAGGGAAAGAGTATTCTGAGAGGAGAGAACACCTCATACAGAATCCCAGAGGTGAGAACAAGCCTGATGTAGGCCATTCAGGAAGGCCATTGTAGCCAGAGCAGAGTGGATAAGGCGAGAGGTAGGAAAGTTGCTCAGCCTGGTGGTGAGGGGCAACTCACAAAGACTCAGGGTTTTTTTCTGAGAGAGATGAGACTTTGGAGGGTTCTGATTGTAGGAGTCCTGTGATCTGGTTACCTTTTGAAGACATAATCATCCTGGCTGCTGTGACTATGTATCTTAGGTAGGACAACAAGAGTGGAAGCTCATAGGAGAGAGGTTGTTTAGGTGTATTAGGTATTTATCACTGCGTAACAAATGATCCCTAACACCTGGCAACCAAAAATGACAATCCATGTTTATTAGCTTGTGTTGTCTGTGGATCAGGAATTCAGGAGTGGCTTAGTTGGGTGGTTCTGGCTCAGAGTACCCCAGGAGGTCATGGACATGATATTGACCTGGGTTGTAGTCATCTAAAGGCTTGGCTGGGACTGCAGAATCCACTTACAAAATGGCTTGCTCGCATAGTTATTGGAAGCAGTCTCAGTTTCTTGCTGCATGGACCTCTTCATAGGGCTGTTTGGGTGTCCTCATAATATGGTATCTGACTTTCCCCAGAGTAAGTGATCCACTAGAGAGCAAGGTGGAAGCCACAAAGTTTGTTGTTGTTATTGTTGTTTTTAATGACCTAGCCTTGGAAGTAACACACTGTCATTTCTGCTATTTCCTTTTGGTTACACGGGTCAGTCCTATTCATCATGACCGTGAATATCAGAAAGCAGGAATTAGTGGGTGCCATCTTGGAGGCTGGCTGCCGTAGATGGCTTTCATAGTAGTTGTCCAGGTCTGACAGGCAAGAATTGCCCAACAAAACTCTACTCTAAAAGATGTATGAGTAGAGATTTTCTTCTGTCATTGGCTGTTTGGTGGCCTGCTATTTGCAAATAAGTCCACAGAACCACGAAATACTCCAATTCCAGCCCGTTAGACTATGAGGTGTTTTGAACCCATTGTAAAATAACAATTTACTCAGCTTAATTTGACAAATCTATGATTATGATAAAGTGACAATATGATACGAACCATGTGTTTCTCGGTAATTTAAATGACATCCCAATCTCTTGAGCAAGTAGTAGGAGAGATGAATACACTTCTATTACATTCATATTTTATAGAATACCTATGTTGCTCCCAAAGTGCCTACTGGTCTGGTTGTTTGAACAGGCTTAATTTATGTCTTGCCCGGCCATGCTCGATAAACTGTCATTCTTAGAGTTACCTAATGGGATTGTGCTTTAAGCACAAGTCAATCAGCAAGATACCACTGGCCCTGGAACTTCCGCCAGCTTAGTTATGGAAGCACGAGGCAGACTGGCGTCTTCCAACAATCAGGGCAGAATTCTCTGTCAGAGGGGAGAATTACTTTAACAGAGCGTAGGCAGAATTCACCCTATTTAATTAGGGAAGTTGTCTATAGTTTTAAATTAGTTTCTCTGGCAGCTATTTCTTAGCTTCCTTTTGTTTCGACAAATGAAAAAACCCAAACCCAAATTGTTGGAGAAGCAGCCTTGAGAAAGAAAACAATAAACCAAGTGTTAGCAGCAATTCCTGTGGCTGGTTGACCAGGGAAGACTTATTACCCTAACATGGCACAAAAATGAGTGGCTTTGGTGGCATAGACTGAACTGAATGCTGTTATTCTTTTGACTGTCATATTGTTAAGAATCGTTGCCAGGTTTGGTCAACCTGTACTTTTCTCATCTCTCATCTCCAACTCCAAAAACATTTTGTCACAATTTTGAAAGAATGGTTTTTACTGTTTACATTCAAACCTTTATGGTTCTTTCCTACCCATTGATCATGCAGTGGAGGAATGAATTGTATAGATCTTAAGAGAAACCCTTGAACAATAGCGAGCCCTTGGCAAAGAACCAGGTGCTGTTGTTGCTGAGGTCACTTTGAATAAAGTCATGTCCTTAGGCATTGTGCCTTAACACACATTCCCCCAGGATCATGCAGCTCCCCTACACAATAAAAATCAATGTGTTCATGTTGTGCTTCAGTGCCTGCGAGTGATGAAGAGGAAGGAGCAGTGCTTTTTGACAACTCTGGCAAGGCAGCTGCCGATCCCTTCGACACGTCCTCTGGATCTGTGCAGCTCATTGCGATAAAACCCACGGCCCTCCCCGTGGTGCATCCCACTTCGGACCGGAGCCAGGAGTCGGCCATCCTCAACGGTGAGGTGAGTACCTGCCGACCCAGAGCGAGGGAGAGCCAGTGCAGCCAGGCCTTTGGGAATTCAGACTCAAAGACTCCACCTGGGAATGCAGGCTGCAGGTTGCATCCAGGAATACAGGGCTCTATCGGTCATTTTTACCTCCGTGTGCACAGGCCTTGGGGTGGGGGGGTGGGGTGAATCAGGACACGAGTCACCTAAAATGAGTTTGCTGGGTGATGTTTTTGAGGAATTTTTGCCTTTCTTAGGAAGCCCAAGGGGACTTTTTAAAAACTGTAGTTATGGGGGCACCTGGATGACTCAGTCAGTAGAGCATGTGACACTTGATCTTGGGGTTGTGGGTTCAAAACCTGCATTGAGAGTGGAGTTTATTTTTAAATTATGGGTTTTTTAAAACTGTAGTTATGGAGAGAGACATCAGAAATTCTTCCCCACCCCCTTACACACAACCTTCTTCCTTGTTTGGTAGCTCTCCTAGACTATTCATTATGGGTGCCAGTTGTAGTAGGATGGAAGGGGTTTGAGTTGATAAAGAGCCAGCAGAGATACCATGGTACAGACAGGAATGTGGTCTGCTACATGGGCTTTGAAATGACTTTTTCTCCTTTTAGCAAGCTTGAAACAACCCCCTGACTGCTTCCAGGAGGCTATCACTGCATATCATGGTGTTAATCCATCTTCCTAAGAGTCTGGAAAAATTTGGTAACATACTCCAGAGAATGATGATTTAACCAAAGAAAACAGAAGGATGGATGGAGAGTAGGTAGGGGTGGGTTAGAGAAGAGCGAGAGGGCAAGCCAGGGAAAGAGTATCTGCCATTTCTCTACCTCCCACAGCAGAATGGTCAGTAGGCTGAAAATATTTATGAACTTTTAAGAACATGTGATGTGAAACTTGCATGTGAACATTAACCTCACACGTGCATATATGCACATACTTCAGTTGTCTGTCTTTGTCCTGCTGTTGTGTTGACTGTTGATTTCATTTGTTTATACTCTGCTGCTGTTACCTACAATGTGTGGGAAATTTCCAAGGTTTTAAAGCCTTTTTGCCATCACACCTCAAGGAACATGCCAGGCCCCTGTATATCTTGGTGTTGAAACTATATCAGGAGCTAATCCTCATTCCCCCATCTGGGTCACATAGGATTCAGGAAGCTCCTCTTGCTTTCTGGATGGGAAGACTGAGCTGGCATAAAGGTGTTATGGGTTGAAGTTCATCAATTTTGGGGTTGTTTTGTTTTTGGTTTATTCCTTTACTGTTCTCTTTCCCCAAAAAGGTGCTCCCTCACTCCCAGGCAGATGAGGGAGGACAAGACTTTATGCTGGAGCCACCATTTAGTTCTCCTTCCCCCATCCCAGAGCCAGGGAGGGGAAGTGACACATAGGGAAGATGGATGGAAGAAAGGATAGATGGATAGAGAGAGAGCCAGAGAGAGTAGGATCAGGAAGGCGCTACTCCAAGCAAAGCCCCATTCCTTCCAGTCTTGCCTCTGGAAGTAGAAGTGGCATGACTGACCATTGGGGCCAGGGTGGTGCCCAGCTGGGTCACAGCCCTTTGTGGGGTACTCCAGTAAACATCGTGGATTCTCAGCACCGCTGGTGCCTAGTGTTTCTGTGGTCACAGACACCTCTTGGTCTTCTTGGCCTTGATTTCCCAACAAACCAATGGTGGCAGGAAGGGGTAGGAGAAAAAAGCACCCCTACCCTGGGAGCCTCACAAGCTGTTTCAGGAGAGCAGCCCCCTGGCTTGGAGGCAGCTGGATCCTGGACGTGGCTAACCCATGCATCATAAATGCTCTTATTGAGGGGCATCCCCTGGAAGACGGCATCTGGATCCCAGAACAACCATGAGGGGCTGTGCATTTCAGGGGCCACCCCCTAGTAGGCTGGGCCAGTTGAAGGTGGGCACTGGGGATATAGGATATGGATAGTAGTGGGGTCAAGGGCATTGTCACATTGGGAGTGTAGATAGGCAAGTAGGAGATGGGCAGCTGCCCCCAAAGTGAAGGCCTCTGACTTCCACTGGTCACCCGCCTAGGCTCTGGGGTACTCTGCAGTAAGTGGAGAGGCAGGCTCTGTGCTCAGGGGAGAGGGGTGAGAGCCTCCTGGTCCCCCCTGGAAAGTCTTCCCCTCTGCTCTGCTGAGCCTGGGGAAGGGACAAAGGGGCCACAGAGGCCTCTCAGAGGACAGCACTGGAGTGTGCACCACCTCCTCACCACTGTGCCCAGAGCCAGCTGGACCTGGGATGCTCCATGGTGACCCCTCCCTGGGGTCCCCTAGCAAAGACTTTATGCTAATGCCCTCCCTGGGTGGTGGCTGGGAAACGGGGAGCTGGTATCATCAGCTATGCAGCATGTAAGGGCTCAGGTCCTTGGCAAAGTCTCCCCACATGCCCCTGCTCTGCCAGTGCCAACACAGGGCCGTGTTGTACGACCCCAGCCCTTCATCTGGCATCAGGCTCACGATGACCACTCAGAAGTTGCCCTTGACCTGGGGCTTCCTGGCATCTTTAGGCACCTTGCGGGAACCTTGGTTGGAGGAGAGGTTGTGGCAGATGGAATCCTTCCAGCCCTTACAGTCATCCCTGAAGAAGGGAAATGTGGCTTGGACCTGATGGATAAGCTGGGCCAGCTTCAGCCTGTGGGAGGGTGTGGCCTGGACCACTCAGGCAACCATGGCCACTAAGTAAGTGTAGGAGGGCTTGTTATGCCACAGGTATCTCTGCTTCCTCCCCTTGGGGGGCTGGGAAGACAACTCCAACCTGGGAAGCCCCAGGCATGGGTCGCTGCAGGTCCCCATGCAGGGGAGGCAAGCAGTGTGGGCAGGGGCCTGGCCCTGTGGAGGGTGCAAGGCAGGGGGGCAGTGTGGTGAGGCAGGGCTGGGGGCCTTAGGCCCAAGGTTCATCCATTTTTAGAAGGAACTGGTTATAGACTTACAGAGCACTTCTCTGCCAGTCTTCCCATTTTTTAGACAAAGAAACAGGCCAGAGGGTCAGGTGGCTTGCCCAGAGTCACACAGTAGTTATTGTGATAGCCATGATACGATGTACAGGTCCCCTGTATCCCTGTCCAGTGCTCCTTCCCTCTCTCTGACTCACTGTGGCCCATTAGTGAAAACTAGCATTGTGCTTAAAAGAGCACAGACTCTTCAAGGATTTGAATCCAGCCTTTCTACTTACTCTTCTTGTGACCTTAGTCAGGTTAGTTCATTTTTCTGTGCCTCGGTATTTCCATTTGTAAAATGGGGCTATTGGGAAGATCAAATGAATTAATATAAGTAAAACCCTTAGGACAGTGCTTAGCACACAATAAGTACATTATCATTGGTATTATTATTATTATTAGTCAGCCAACAAACAAGGATTTGTTGATCATTTATCATTTTATATTTCTTGGTTCTATAATTTGGGGACCTGTATATCTTCTCAAAGCCAGTCACGCCCACCGAGTCTTTTGTTGGGCACACTTCTGCCACGAGACAAACAGCCCAGTGATTGCAGACCTCTGAGGTTGTCACTGATGCACTGCTAACTGCTCTTGATCAGGATGTCCTGCCCAGTGTGGACCTAGATAATGGCTGCCATGCCTGGATCTTTAAACCCCACCTTGGCTATGTGAATATGGGGACATATTCTAGATCTTAGCTAAATTCAACATATCACTCCCTTTTTCTGCCAGGCCCATCATCCCATCCCAGTAGGAGAACAGATGAGCATTTTGCCTGTCCAGAAATGGATACTTGTTCCATTTTGGTAGTTAAAGGAATGGACCTTGCTGGCATTTGGATTGGAAAAGAGCCCTGAACTGTCCTCTGTAATTTGCTGCCTTGTAGCATTTAAGGCAGATTGTCTTATAATTTTCTTCCTTCTTCTCTTATGGTTGACTTGTTTCAGTGAAGAAACCACAATCCCAAAGCCATAAATTTTCCTTTTATGAATTATGGGTAATTCTTTTAAATATTATTTTAAAGAAAACATAATAACCGCATAGAATGTTCAGAAGAAAAAAGAAAAATCACTATAATCTCACTGTCTTAGCACATCCTGTTTTCATTTTCTGTACCTCCTCCTCAAACTTTTGATCAAACTCATATATATGTTAGAATCTTCTACAGACAACTTCCTATCTTGTATCTTAAACATTTGCAGTATTGCTGTGGCCTTTGGGATGGTGATTATGAGGAGGTATCCCACTGATTGGAAAAGTGATCTCCCATTGTTCAGATCTTCCAGATATTTTTTGGTTTTAGTTTTAGTTCTGGTTATTATATCAGAGTTCTGGTTATTATATGTTATTATATGTAAGCGGCCGACTTCAGCTTAGGTAATGGTCTCACAGTTTGTGAGTTTGAGCCCTGCATCAAGCTCTGTGCTGACAGCTCAGGGCCTGGAGTCTGCTTTGGATTCTGTGTGTGTGTCTCTCTTTCTGTGACCCTCACCTGCTCACATTCTGTGTCTTTCTCTCTCTCAAAAATAAATAAACATTTAAAAAAATTCAAATGTCTTTATTCTGACAGAATTTTAGATTGACGTAAGAGTTGCAATCATAGTACAAAAAGCCCCATCGGCTCTTTACCTACCTCGGGTGTGAACATCTTACGTAACCACAGAATAATTATCAAACCGAAAAAATTAACATTTGTACTCTGTGATTGCCTAATCTGCAGACTTAATTTGAATTTCACTGGTTTTCCAGCTAATGTCTCTTTCCTGTTCCCAGGATCCAGTCCAAGATCCCACATAGCATTTAGTTGTGTCCTTAGTCTCCTCCGGTCTGGAACGGTTCATCAGTCATTCTTTGTGACCATTCTTTGTCTCATGACCACTGGCCAGTTATCACGTACAATGTCCCTCAGTCTGGGTGTGTCTAATGTTTTCTCATGATTGGATTGAAGTTATGCATTTTTGGCATAACTACGGGGTGAGAGGCCCTTTTGTCAGCATCATATCGGGAAATACGTGATACTGATATGTCTGATTACTGGGATATTAACTCTCATCTCTGACTTGGAAGCTCTCTTGGAATGCTGCTTAAGCAGAGATTCCAGAATTGGGATTCCTGGCTCAGAGGATGTCATACCAGCTTCTTCTCCCTTCTAGTTTTCTTGGTGACAAGTGGAATAAGGGAACAATTAAGACCTGTGAGATGCTACCAGCCTAAAGATATCATTAGGGCTCAGGCTGGGGAGATCTTTGCAAAAGTTAGAGAAAGTATGCTGTAAAAATAAAAACATCTAACACGGAGCCTTGTGCTGGTGAACCTTGGGCCTCATCCTGTAGGTTGATATATATCTTACCACTGGATGTATTTCTGTTTATGAATTACAGAAAACTCTCTTAAAAATTATTTTAAATAAAACATAGTAACAACACTATACATGGTTGTATTCATAAAGTCAAATCCGATTACAGACAGCTCTGATGGTCCTCTGTATAATCCAGTAGGTGTCAGGCTGAATTCATCCTTCAGCTTCATTCGTGGGTGTAACTTCCTCATCATTTGTTAGTTATTTAACATAGCCATCTGCTTGTATCTTTGACAAGTCAGAAGGTATGTTGGCCATGTTCCTTTTGATATGACCAGACTGGCTTTGCCCCATAGAGCAGAAACTGCCTGGCATTAGTGGCCATACAAGGCTTCAGAATTACCTATCTCTCAAAAAAGATACAGATTGACAAAAATAAGCTCTCACATGCAGGTTGGTAGAGCAGAAGGACCTTGGGAACAGCATGTCTGTTCTTCTCTTCTCCCTAAGCTCATCCCAACTCAGGTTCTTCAGGAACTGGCTATTGTATCCATCTGGGCACCAGCTAAATGGCCAGGGGAGGCCATTGGGTTCCTCAGAGCTGGAGCTAGAAATAGGGCACCAAGTCAGAAGCTCCCACACAGGGGAACCAAGGGAGTTTAGGTGGGATCATCCCTACACCACAAAGGGTAGACTAGGGAGAAGAAGCCCATGATGGAAGGTCCAAGTGATGTAGGTGAGTGTCAGGCTCCACACTGTTTGTGGCCCACTGTTGGGGGCTGGTTTTGGAATGGGACATAGGTGGGTCTGGCTGGCTTAAAGGACCTGAGGTGAAGCCTAGGACAGTTTTGTAGGAGTTGTGACCTGATGAAAACCTCCCACCTGTTGGCCATGCCTGGTCAGCCCTGGGCCTGAGACACTCTCTCTCTCCTCAGGTGAACAAAGCCCTGAAGCAGAAGTCAGACATTGAGCACTATCGGAACAAGCTACGCCTCAAAGCCAAGAGGAAGGGATATTACGACTTTCCACCGGTGGAGACAAACAAGGCTCAGACAGAAAGAAAAAAGATGTACGAGAAAACCCCAAAGGAAATCGAGCACGTTTTGGATCCAGACCCAGAACTGTGTGCCCCATTTGCTGAGTCTAAAAACAGGTGCAGTGTCTAAGGGCTTTTCTGATGGTCCCTGTACCATTACTGGGATGAGGGTAGAGGGTGCCTTGGGTAATACAGCCTTGGTCTCTCGATCTGTCCTTAGGACTGTGATCGTTGCTGGCTGCTGATCTGGACCATGCTGGTCTGTGCAAGCCAGTGCTCCATAGTGAGTTTAGAAAAGAATAAAATTGAAGCCATTAAAAAAAATACTTGGGGAAACAACCATAATTGTCCTTTAGCTTAATAATATTTCCAAACCAGTAGCTGTTTCAGAGATGGATAAAGGTATAATCATCACCCACCTGGTTATGCAGCTTCCAGATCAAGGGACATTGTATTTTTCAATTAATTATTGGCTCTTGCATAAGAAAAGCAAATTTCATGCCCTACCTTCTCACACAGCATCAGTAAGTACTTACCACACATCTACTCAGAGCTCTGTGCTGAGTTCATCTCTTTAATTCATAGATTTGTTCATGTACTTGACATTTATCACTACCTACTCTGTATTGGGCACCATGCAGGCTGTTGAATACTCTCATGGTTATGTAGGCTTTTTCTCATTCATTCATTCATTCCACCCATTCAACATTTTATGGTAGACAAGACAGCCCAGTCATTGCTCTTATGGAACTCAAGGTCTGATGGAAGTAAAAGAGAACTACCCCCAGAAGTTTGTTACTCATAAGAGCAGTGGGTGTTTGCAATGTGAGATCATGTAACAGCCTAAAAAGGGGACCTGGCCTCAGGGGGACCTGGTGAGGTCCATCAGTTTGGATTGGCACCATCCCAAGCTTTGTCGCTCACTAAGCAGAGTGAGTGACCTCACCTACTGGTTTAGCAAAGCTAAACACAACCATCTTTCTTCTTTTCCTCCCCACCCTAAAGCACCTCCTTGGAAGCATTTTCATGGTTTGAGACTATCCCTTTCAAATATACATTCTTCTTAGCACCAGCCCCAGGGTTTAGGCGTGCCAGCTCTCTGATCCATGCCATACACAGCCTTGGCAGATCCACCCTCCACAAACTGAGTGAGACACGACAGCTCCAGGCCTGAGCATGTATTTGTTAAAACCAAATATGACTATGTGACAGGCTCAGATGGGATCACAAGGTCAAGTTGGGAGGTGGGGCTCAATTTTATTAGTGAAATTGATATAATTTATTTCTAGTAAAGAAAAGAAGGAATTCTAAACCAGTGCATCATGTACCATGCTTCTAATTAGATATGGTGGGTCTGATCAGCTGTTGATGTAAAAAGCACACTTTGACAGGGCTCACAATACATGTGTCACCATGTTGATAACTGTAGAAAGGAGGAAAGATGGGTGTGGATTTTATAAGAAGGCTGGTGGCTTCTTTAGCTTGTATGCTGCACCTGGGGACTTGTTAGGGGCCTTCTACAGATCTGGGCAGAGAGTTGCTTTTCCCAGGTTTTCTGCTACCACTTGGGAAAAGAATCAAATCATGTGCAAATACAAGGAACTTAGCTTTGAAGTTATTTGGGAAATACATAAAGTATTTCAGTTGAAGCTTTTTATAAGCAGAGTGGACACAACTTCTTTTCCATAGACCTGCGTCTCCACTGCGCACCAAAACCTCAGGCCAGATTCTCAAGGTCCTTCGATGGCCTGCTGATGCTGTGAGTGTGAGTGTGTAGTCCATTCTCCTTCTTCTGTTGAAGAAGTGATTGAACGACTCTCAAAATAATGTTTAAAAAAGTTTTTTTGACATTATGAAGGGAAAAATATGGAAGACCCTAAATTGGGTGAGGTGGGGGTAGGAATGGAGAGGAGATGAGAGCAAGGGATGGGAATGGAAAGGATTAACAGAGAAAAAGAGAGTGGCAGTGACTTGGTAATAAACTCCAAGGTGTTATTCTTTTTTTTTTTTTAAGTTTATTTATTTTGAAAGCGCGAGTGAGGGAGGAGCAGAGAGAGAGGGAGAGAGAGAGAATCCCAAGCAGCCCCACACAGGGGCTTGATCTCATGAACCTTGAGATCATGACCTGAGTGAAATCAAGAGTTGGATGCATAAGCAACAGAGCCACCAGGCGCCCCTCTGAGGTGGTGTTCTTGTCACGCTCTGTCATTGACTGGGGAGGCTGCTGCCTCGCGTGTGGTGTCTGTTGTCACAGGTTGGAGTTACGTGTCCATTGGCGCTCTCAGTTCAGCAGACGTTCTACCCTCAGTGACGTCACTACTGCAAGGCACGCATGAGGGAATCGTTCTCCAGTCCGGGGGTAACCAGGATTTTATCCTGAGACCTAAATTAAATCAAATCAAAGACAACATTTAGATCCCAAATGTTGACTCATCCCCACATCTTTTAAAAGAGGCTTCACAGCTTTTTCTTTAAAGTCAGAAGAACACCCCCATTTTTACATTATAAACTCTTACCCGGAGGCACAAAGAACATAATGTAACTGAGGCAGATGCTAGCAGAGCCCCCCTCACAGATCCCCGTGGCTCCCACTGCTACTGTACATCCTACATCCAGCAGCATCCTACTTCCTGTGAGCATCTATGCCTCTGACTTGAGGGCTTTTTCTCAGCAGCCCCCACCGGAAATGCCGCGTAGCCGATGTACTCTGGAGCAGTTTCAGTCAGTGACAGACAGCAGCTGATGGGTAAACACCCCAGCAGAAGAACTCTGAGGTGTAAGCCACCTGTTGTAAAAACTGCATTTTATAGCTTCTGGATTTGTCTATTTGACTTTTGGGACTTGCCAGCTCTGGAGAAACTTCCCCTCCCAGGGCTATCTAGCCAATTCCTAGAGATAGTCAAGGGCTGGGCTACAAAGGGTGCACCTTTTATATGTAAACCAAAGAGGCCAAAGCCCATGCCCCAACCACCTTCTTCACCTCGGGCTGTCACACTTGGGGCTTTAATCCCCCTGCCCTGACCACCTGAGGGCAGGGTACCTCACAACCAGGAACAGCCCCTATGTCCTAGGGGCTGCTGAAATTATTTCAGAAATCCAATCTAAAGCCCTGTGATACACCCCATTCCCTTGGAATTGTAAGTATAACAAGCTATCTTTTCAATGGGAGTCACCTCCTGATCTGTTGGTCTTGTCATATCTAAATAAAATAAAGCCTACATTTTATTTTTTATTTTTTAAAAATGTTTTATTTATTTCTGAGAGAGAGAGAGAGACAGCGTGAGCAGGGGAGGGTCAGAGAGAGAGAGGGAGATACAGAATCCAAAGCAGGCTCCAGGCTCTGGGCTGTCTGTCAGCAAAGAGCCCGACACAGGTCTGAAACCCACGAACCATGAGATCATGACCTGAGCTGAAGTCGGATGCTTAACCGACTGAGCCACCCCAAAGCCTACATTTTAATGCAACTATGCCCCATACTTCTCCAGGAAGCTTGAGCCCCAGTTACCCAAAATACTAGTCTGCTGTATATCATACCCTTTATCGGCCTCCTTGTGGAGAATTCTCTCTCTCATTTTCCCACTTCCCAACTTGTGCCTCCTGGAAACTCTTCCCAAGTAAACCGTTTGTACTCACATCCTCGTAGAGCCTGCTTCCGGGGGGATCCCAACGTAAGGCAATAAACTTACAAAAACAGAGTTGCTCTGATGGAAGCAGGGCCCCTTCCTCTGCCTCACTGGCTTCCATTCCTTCCTTATGGAACCCTAGGTTTCCACAGAACACAGTTTGGGAACTACTTTCTTAAACTTTATTGTGGGATTTTTAAAAAAAACCTAAAAGTGTAAATGAAATATATCACTATCCACGCAGCAGTATTTTTAGAGTTTAAAACTTTTCAAGTTTGCAAGTTTCAAAATGTATTGCCTTTTAAACAATATAGCAAAACATAAACAAGAAATGAATGTACCTAATGGAACTCCATTCCATAGGTAATTCCTCTACCAAGAGCCTAATTTATTTCTGAGTAGTTGCTTACACACTAGGCACACATTCATGGTCTGCTTAATTGAGATCCATGTTAAATAGCAGCGTTTAAGCTGGGGATCATAATGGAACACTGTCTTTGATGGAAAAGCAGACTGGAGTGCACCCCAGTGTCTAAGTGCTCACCCGTGTCCAGGGTTCTTGAAAGGGCTCACAGTCTCCCTATTGTGTTTCTAATACTTCCAAAATAGCCTACTTAAATGTCAATTGCTAATCCTAGTATTTACTCCCCCCCACATCCTTATTAGTAAATCTTTTCTAAATGGGCTAATTGGCAATCTCAGGACAGTTGTAAAGTCTGCTTTTTGAAAAAGTGATTTGTAATTAGGTCAAGGATGAGAATTCTTTGGGGTATGCCTTAAAGTGGGAATCACGCTGTATCACAAGGTCATGCTCCATTCCTAAAAGAAGCTTCTAATTGCAGATAACAATTGGGCACTGTTTATAATATTAGATTTAAGTTCCTATATTAGTCAGGATTCTTTTGGTTGCAAATGATGGCAACCCAGCATCAACTGGTTAAATACAAAGAGAATTCATCAGTGAATGTGAAAGGTCAAGGCTTCAGGCATGACCAGGTCCAAGGGGCCATACAACATCCCCGCTATTGGGCTTGCTTTCTCATCACGTTTAGCTGGTTCCTCTTCAGGCTCTTATCTCATAGTGGCAAACTGGCTGCCAGCAATTTTTGGCTTATATCCTGTCTTCTTAGAAACTTCAGTGCCATGAGAATGCCTCTTTCCTGGGTGCTCTAGTGAAAGCCCTGAGATTCAGTCTCATTGGACCAACTCATGTGCCTACCCTCTAACTGATCGTTATGGCCATGGGGATGTGATGCTTGATGGTCCAGCCTGAATCAGAGGCTAACCACAACAGAAAGTGTAGCCTCCAAAGAATATCATAGTGCTCTCACAAAAAGGTTATCAGGATATCAGGCAAGCAGAGGTCACAGAGGCTCTCTAAACACATGCATGTAAGCTCCTCAGTGAGGGAGTAGGTCTACTAATGTCTATTTTATCCCCTAGGCTAATTGCAAGGATAGTGTTTTACCTTGTGAGCTCTAAGGTCTATTCTAGACTAACAGCATGTGACTCTTGTGCTGTCACTAAGTGGGTGTGTGATCATGAAGAGTAGGACATATATGTATACCTGCTAGGTTTCTGGCTCCCTGCATAGTCACTGGGAATGAATAATGTGACCTCTTCACCTTCGACCCATGAGTGGATAGAATCTTGGAATGGAGACATAAAATAGGTGGTTGAGAATTCCCTGAAGATAGATGCTCTGAAATGCTAGTTATTCACAGGGAAGAATTGATTGTTGGATAAGGGCACAGTAGCCACCTTTGTCACTCTGCAATGTCATGTGAAACTACCCACCCATTGGGCCTCACTCCCCTCTTGTAAGAATTGCCTCTTCTGGAAGAAAGCACAGCCACAACCCTCACTGCATTCTTGTTTCTTCTCCTCAAAAAGATGCCTTGAGGGGCACCTGGGTGGCTCAGTAGGTTAAGCATCCTACTTGGGCTCAGGTCGTGATCTCATGGTTTGTCAGTTCAAGCCCTGTGTCGGGCTCTGTGCTGACAGCTCAGAGCCTGGAGCCTGCTTCGGACTCTGTGTCTCCCTCTCTCCCTGCCCCTCCCCTGCTCGCTCTGTCTCTGTCTCTGTCTCTGTCTCTCTCTCAAAAATTAATAAAACATTTTAGAAAAGATGCCTCGAATGGCAAGTGTAAGCAGACATTGGTGTCAATGTATGCGTTTCCTGAGGGAGCTGAGTGGAGCTTCTCAGCATGCTACTCCCTGAGTCTGGAGTGTTCTGTGCAGGATTGGCACGAGGTTAGCTCTTTTTATGTCTCAGATGAACTGTCCCCCTCTATATCCTATCTGAAGTTGCCCCTATTTTAGCCATCCTTTGTCTCCTCATCTTTTTCTTTTTAAATGTATTTATTTATTTTGAGAGAGAGAGAGAGAACATGAATGGGGGAAGGGCAGAAAGTGAGAGAGAGAGCAAGAATCTCAAGCAGGCTACGCACTATTGGTGCAGAGCCCAGTGCAGAGCTTGGACTCACAAACCACAAGATCATGACTTGAGCTGAAACCAAGAGTTGGACACTTAAACAATTGAGCCACCCAGGCACCTGCACTTTATTTTTCTTAGTAGCATCTATCACCCTTTGAAATAATGTGAATTGTGTGTTTCCCTCATTAGAATGTAAGCTCCAGGAGAGCAGGGCCATGTCTGTCTTGCTCACTGTGGATCATTTTCATCATCCACAGTGTACATGGTAGGCATTCGGTAAATATTGGATGGATGGATGGATGGATGGATGGATGGATGGATGGATGGATGAGTGGGTGGATGGATGAGCTCCAAACTGCCTCTTGGTTTATGGCTCCTCAGCCCAGAAAGGAATCCACTGTTGGGAAGGTAGAAAAGAAAATCTGTCCATATTCACAGTATTAAGTGGCCCATTAGCCACAGGGTTTATTAACACATCAGAGAGCCCTGCCTGTGAAGTCAGGAAGATTAAAAAGAACAGCAGGCTGCTGAGTCAACAGTCAACAAAAGCAAAGTTGTTCTCAAGCATTTGCTGTCCTAGAGGGTCAAGGGAGAGTCCCCGGCCTTGCCATCAGCAGAATTTTAGATGAGGTTGTAGTGTTGCAATTGATTATAGTTACCTAGTTTCCATTAGAAGAGTATTTACAATTCAGCCAAATGGCTATAGCATCTGGGAAAACAGAAACAAAAACAGAAACAATCTTTTATTCCACTCTTCCTATGGCCTCTGATGGTCAGAGAACAAATAGCATGAATCCTGAGATCTGCAAGGCAAATCCAAACCCTTCATTGGTTGCCTGTAGTTTGGATCAGTGGAGAATTCCATCTGTCAGGGCATTTGCTGCATCATAACAGTTGTTGGATTTTCTTCAGGCAACAGATGAAGAACTCTGTCTACCGAAGCCGGCAGTCTCTGAATAGCCCGAGTCCTGGGGAAACGGAGATGGACCTTCTGGTGACTCGGGAGCGACCCCGGCGTGGAATCCGTAACAGCGGATACGATGTAAGTGTCTGCTGGGCCAAGGTGAATATAGACTTTCCTTTCCCATAAGAGTAGTGGAGATAGAACACCCCAGAATGTTTCACTTCACAGTATATTTGTGGAATTTAAAAGTGCACTAAAATGGCTTCTATTTTATTATTCCTTCTTACCTCTTTTGCAAGTAAGACTATGTGGAATGTGTCAGAGTAACAAATTATTGCTAAAAGGATTTTGATTTCTAAATCCAATCATTTTATGAATAGTACAATATTGATCTTAAGTCAACAGCAATTCTAAATGTCCTTAATTTTTTTCCCACTGTCCTTAAAACTCAGTAGGAACCATGGCTGTGGGTTACAGTTCATTTGAACACAGGCTCCTTTTAATGCATAGCAGGTTTGAGAAGTTGGATTTGTTCCTGATTTCATAACTCCTCAATATGCCATGGAAACCATGAGATGCCCAACAGAGCGATTTGGTGATTTCATGTGATGAAGCCCATGCTTATGTTTGGTGATGTCTCCAAACTGGAAAAATTGTTCTAACCCCATCAAACTTCCCAGATAAGGAGTTATAATGTGGTACCTCACATCCAGTCACTCACATCCTGTTAAACGTAGTTGTATCCATGAACTCACATGAACGCAATTCTGGTAGAGACATTCAAGAATGCTTCACCCTACCCCAGGATTTCAGGTGGCCTTAAATCTACTCTTAGGTTTTATGAAAAAGATTTCTTTCCCATTCTCCTAAAACAGTTCTCTAATTACAAATAAGGTGGGGGGGGGTTGTATCAAGAGTTATGATTCAAAAATGTCTGGATCAGTTTTTTTATCATCTGTGAGGTTGTCATTTGAAAATTACACTTTATTTCTTAAATATACCATGCTGATTCAAATACTGAAAGAGTCTCCTCCCCCCCACCCCCCAGGATTGGTCATTGTTTACCACAAAATCTTAAAGTGGGATTTTAATGATCCTGTTAAAAACAGATGTTCTGCCTCATTTGAATTTCTGGTTACCTTATATTACATTCAAACTTGACATTTGTGTTAGTGGTAATTATCTTTTATTTCTGTTTTCCTTTTTCATGTAAAACAAATTAATAGTTTTATAAAATATATTTTATATTTTTATATTTATTTTATAAAATTTCAGATGCTTTGGGCAAATCTTTTCTTTTCCTCCAGGTGAAATTATTTAACATTGATTTTTCTCCTCATAAAAATTTTTTTCATTCCAAACATGGCCAACGATTTGAAAATCAGCCTGTGGTTAAAAACCAGGTATTTGAGTTTTCCAGCTAATCTCTCCCTACCAACAGTGAATATCTTTCCTACATGCGTATAGTTTCGGGGAGTTCTTTGGCTTAGGCATTCCTGAGGTATGATAGGATTCTTAAATGTATTTCAAGATTGGAAATAGACAGCTTGTGAGAGCCTAGGCACAGACGTTTTTACAGTTTGAGGAAATAGGGCAGAGATTTCCCTGTTAGTCTTAAAAGAGGACAGTGCAGTTGTTGGGTTTTTCTGTTTTTTAAACTGCTCTGCCATGACTTGCAGTACTGACTTCATACTTTTAGAATGCCATGTTAGTACATTACTTATGACAACAGAAGGAGGAAGATGATTTTTGAAGGGAGGTTGCTCACGCCTCACCCTCCTGTATAAATATTCCAATTATAGATTGCTTTAAGGAAAGCCCTCTTCATTCTCATAGGTTTTTCTTAAATATACACGTCTTGAGAATTGCATGTCATCTCAAAAACATAAGCAAAGATAAGTTTCCTTAAGACAAAACGATCACCTGGGGACCAATTTTAAGAATTTAGATTGTCGTCTGTAAGAATGCAGTTGCTTCCTATTTCTCCTCCTGGACCTTCTGCACTGATCACATGAAAAGCACCTCTCATTTATTGACTGCACACGATGGACCAGCCTCTATTCTGGTCTTTTTATGTAAATTATCTAATTAAATTTGCACGTCGCCAGTGAGGTAGGCCCCCTCCCTACACCCACTGTACAGATAAGGAAACCACGGCATGCAACAGTTACATCATTTGTCTCCCCAACTCCAGAGCTCGTTCTCTTAACCACAGTGCAGTAGGGCTTCCACATAAACCCACCGCACTATCTATCTGTCTTCACATCATGTAACATATATCCTGTATTTCTGATATCACAGAGAGGCTGGATGTCTCGTTTCATAAGAATCCCTGCACGGATGAGGCACCTGGGTGGCTCAGTCAGTTAAGCAGCCGACTTCGGCTCAGGTCACAATCTCGCAGTTCGTGAGTTTGAGCCCCACTTCTGGCTCAGTGCTGACAGCTCCGAGCCTGGAGCCTGCTTTGGAGTCTGTGTCTCCCTCTCCCTCTGCCCCTCCTCTGCTCATGGCCTGTCTGTCTCTCAAAAATAAATAAACTTAAAAAAATTTTTTAATTAAAAAAAAAAGTATCCCTGCATGGATAACCCACACAAGCAAACAATAGATCAGCAGATAAAATAGAAAAAGAAGAGAGCTGTAGCTTTTCTCAACCTGATTTTCCAAAATAGCCAGGGCATTCCTGACAAAAGAACCTATTAGCCCCACAGTGTACAGGTTATTTGGTTGGAAGCATGTCCTTCTTCCTACTGGGACTGGGGATCTTGAAGCCAGACCAAGATTTCCAGTCATTGCTGCCAGATTAGGGAACACCAGGGCGACTGGCTCCTTGACATCACAGAAGCAGAAGCAGTGGGAGATTGATTTAATTTCTCCAAAGCTGACTACGTTGGAATCCCAACAAGAAATCCTGGGTGTAAAAATAAGTTAGTAAACAAGTAAATAAATAAGCAAACAAAAACACATTCGCATCACAGGCAAATCTGAGCCCCTGGGCTGATGGCAGCCTGGATTGTTTCAGAATGTTTCCATAGAGCAGGATGGGTCCGGGCCTGCACAAGAGAGACTCCGCTTCAAGGGCTTGGGGAATCTCTGTGTTTTGTAGCAACAGTTCTTAGACTCTTGGTCCCCCTAACAGCTAAGGGATGCAACACACTCCTGGATGTCTCTGTGGCTCACTTGGGTAGTAATTTTCTAGGAGTAATTTTTTAACCCCCATTAGATGAAATGCATAATTTTATAAAGATGTCCAAACTGAACACTGCTAAAAGGCAGGACTATATCTTTAAACTCACTTTGGCATTGATATGAATTCCTCCCAGTGCATAAAGCAGGTAGAAAAATAGCCTAATATGTAAGAGCAAAAAGTCATCTGTTTCAAAGTATTTTTCTAAGTGTTATTTTCTGAATGAAAGTCATGTAGAAAATAACGAGGTAGTGAGGAGGGAAAAGAAAATGCCCCAAATATGAATTATCAGGCAGAATAAAGACCCAAGTGGGGTGCCTGGGTGGCTCAGTTGGCTAAGTGTCCAACTTCACCTCAGGTCATGACCTCCCAGTTCATGAGGTTGAGTCCCGCATCGGGCTCTGTGCTGACAGCTCAGAGTCTGGAGCCTGCTTTGGATTCTGTGTCTCATTCTCTCTGCCTCTCCCCCACTTGTGCTCTGTCTCTCTCTTTGTCTCTCAAAAATAAATAAACGTTTTTTAAAAAAGTGTATAGAAAGGTCTCTCAGAACCAGAGACCTTTATGGGCTCCTTCCCCTTAGGCTTCTCTCCAGCACTTTGTCCAAGCTCCACACCCTGGACAAGGTCTCTGAGGACAAGGCCTCCGAGAGCCTTCATGGTAAACCCGATAATGTGGCTAGATGATTGGTCCATTGATGCCTCTCAGAAGAGATGATGTTGAAGGCTCTGCTGTAGGGGCCATGGCTAACAGTCATTCCAGGGGTGCTCTTCAGAGAAAGGTTTGAAAATGTTAATGACAACCAGATGGTTTTGCAATTGAGAAGTGGATGTAAATCTACAGAAGGAGATACTGTATCAGGCAAGATTCCGCTGCGGGAAACAGAAAACATCAAGCCGTTGGAACAGACCAAAAATTACTGTGAGGAGTTAGCCGCTTACAGAATCAGTGGAGGGCCGGCAGCGTTCCCTGGGAGAGACTGAGAACAGACGCGCAGAGGGCTGGCCCTGACCAGGACCGGCTGCGTCTGCCCCCAGCAGGATGGTGGGGAAGGGGGCTGCCCTGGAGCTGCCAGGGAGCAGGAAGACGGGCTCTGGCTCCTTCCTGGACCCAGCCCGCACACCAGTGCACCTCACTGACTGAACTGTGGTGTGCAGCGCAGCCACCGCCACGGAGAGGGCCCCAAGCACATGTGGGCCTGTCAGCCTGGGCATTGGAGGAGCACCCGCGGCAAGGAAGTTGCAGTGCCGGCCTGCCATCCCCACGCGTGAGAGAGAGATGAGAGGAGAATTACCAGGCAGAGCAATATTTGGGAAGCAGTGGGGAGAGCTAGTGGGAACACATATGGCCAAGGGGAAGATCAAAGCATCTCGCAGAATTTGGTCCCCAGCCACTGGCTGAAGGCATGGGTATGCCGGGCTGTGCGTAATAAGGCTTTGATTTCCTGGCATCTTGGCTCACAAGGCAACAAGCTCCCTTTGTGTCAGGTGAAGGGTGGTTACTAGAAAGAAAGGAGGCCAAAGAATCAGCGTGGCTGTTTTGATGGGCTCTGCCTGCAGAGGAATGAAATATGCTCTGGAAAGCTCCGACTGCCTACAACAGCTCATGGCAAGTCTGAAGCCTTCTAGGGAACTTGTCAATTCTATATTATTAATGGAAGTCTCTCCTCCTCACTCCCCACCACATCACCAGCATCTTATGGTTTCAGGATGATAGTCAGAAACCCAAGGAGACTACAGGATGCCCTACTGCGGCTTGACTTTCCCAGTTTAGGGGATGGCCGACTCTTGGATTCATCGGGAGGCAGAGGGGTGGATTTCAGAATTTCGTCCTTCATCCCAGAGGTGGCCTGCTTGTTGCCCTCTGAACTGGCTGCTCTGGTGTCGACCCCATTCCCAGTGCCATCACCCTCTTCACATCCAACCTGGGACTGTCTTACCTGTGTCCTCCCAACTCA